TTTAATATACAAACAATAGAAACTTCCTAGCAATCTATTAAATAAGAAAGAAGGCAAAAGAGAGAAAAAACAACTTCTCATGTATCATTTTCTCATTTTAATATGGTTCGTATAAGCTTAAGTGATGGCAAAAATAGAAAAAGGAGTGAGGAAGAGGATATTAAAAGAACGGAGAGGAAACTTCTACGAACCAGTCAATTACACTTGAACGTGACTTACGTGAGTTATTATGCCTAACCACAAGAAATATAACCAAACCTTATTCCCAAACTAACACTTTTACGAAAAATTGAAAAATTGAATGGGAAAAATGATATCTTCTTTTCTTAAAACGAGAATAACTTTCATAACTCTTAACAAGATTATTTGTAATTAAATACTCTATCACTTATCGTGAAAACATTGTCAATACTGAAATAAGAATGCTTGATTAGAAAATTGGGAACAGGAAATGTTGCGTTTGAAGCAGAGTTGGAGGAGAGAAGAAATAGAAGAATTTCAAGTAAGAAGAGATGAATTGGTAGTTAATAGAGATAATAGGAAAAGTGGAAAATTTCTGCAACTTATAGTTTTTCTACTGCTTTCAATTTTTCATTATGAAAGTAATTAACAAGAAATGATAAGACTTTGGAACATAATTGAATAAATATCTAAATAAGACGGACTATATTTTAAAATTGAAAGTAAAGACGTTAATCTTCGAGATAAGGTAAATTAAAGAAGAAAGACAACATGAAGGATAGAAGAAAAGACATCAAAAAAAAATGGACTAAAGGAAGGAATGAATGAATAAAAAATGAAAAGCAAAAAAAGACAAAGGCAATGAAAAGATTATTTCATAGAAAAGAAGAAAACATATTCTGTCTAACATTATTTTATTACCGATTGATTTTCATTTTAATCCTTCTATGTAATATAAATGCATATATATATATATATATATATATATATAATAGACCTCTGTCGTTCCCCCATATCTTCAATTTTACATCCCTCTATCACTCTGACGAACAGATGTTGTCATCGATTTCCTTTCGTTTTTCTTTAATATTATATACATGGAGTTTAATGTCAGACATATATATATATATATATATATATATATACTGTATTATATAATATAATATAAAAATACCAAGTGCAAATGGAAAAGAACGAATACCCAAAAAAAAAAATATTAAATATATGACCTTGAACTCTCTCAGCTGTTTTCCTTTAGGTCGTTTGAAAAAAAGAAAAAGAATAAAATTAAATAATATGTTGAATAAAACGGAAAACAGAATTTGCGAGTGCAAGGTGCCCAAAATTGCACTTAAAAGTAATGTTATTGGTTAAAAATGATAAGAAATTATAGAATTGTTGTGAATTGAATAAGAACTTTGAAGAATAATATTTGAAAAAAAGAATGAAACAGTAATAGTTTCCTATGATCTTCTTTAAGAATAGGAAGTTTGTTGCTATCCACGAAACTTCCGTGAGTGTTTTTAGTCAGTTTCCTGGTTGACAAACAGCATTTCTTTGATGAAGTTTAGATGAAAATTTCTAAAAATAAAGATAAATGCTACTAGCTAACGCCAAATGGATATTAATGCATAAAGTTTGCCTCTCAGCGCGTTATCGTAAAAAAATTTTCCATTACTTCATGTCTAAAGAGCTTCATAACTTAAATGTCGACCAGGGAAGAACCTGCCCTAAACCATTGTAAACGCTTCTCATTATACTAAGTCGGTTTAGTCGGTGTCAGGAAATAGGTTTAAATCAATATTTAACCGGTTGCATCTATAATTTTGCAGGCATATTTCCGACCAAGCGTATTATCTTAATTGCCTTACTGTGGACACTGCGTACGTTTTAATGCCTGAATCAATAAATCACACAGTCGGACCACTCGTTTCGCTTACTTTTAATAGATATAACCAAAAGTGGAAAAATAAAACCGAAGAGTGGGAAAGAGAGAAAGACATAGAGAGAGACGGAGAGAGAGAGAGAGAGAGAGAGAGAGAGAGAGAGAGAGGGGGCGATGAAGGAATAAAGAACGGACAGTCGCACGAAAAGGAAAGATGAAAAAAAAGCCTGTGTCAATTCTTAATAAAAAAAATTCGATTTTCTGATTCCTTAGACAAACAAATCTAATGCAGTTTGTTAATCTATGTATATGTATTATGTTTGTATAATAATTTATAAATAGCCAGCTCCTACGTAACAAGTTACGACATTGAATATGACACATAAATGACCATTTTAGTAGCCAAAATCTACAAAAAATGTACGGTTTTATTCCCTCAAGGCCATACTAATGCACTGAATCAACAAGGATCCATTAAAAGTAGTCGATTGAAGGAACGACAACGTTCCGAGTTGACTTCCTGTTACCCGATACAAGGGTCAACAAGTCGACGTGAAAAAAGCAGATTCGTCATTGTACAATGTCCCGTTCATTAACTTTTACTGCTCGGAAGCCTCATATTCTTTCGAGGTCAATTCTCATTTCTTTCTTCTTTCTATCAGTTTAAACAGATATTATTTTTCTTTTTAATTTCAAAATATGCTTTATCTTTACCTAAATTTCTATTGCTATTTTATTCTCTTTTTCCTGTTTCTTTTCTATCTATCTATATATTATCCGCACCCTCTCTCTCTGTCTCTCAATCCCAGTCTTTAACTCTTTCTTCTTAAATCACCCGACTATTCAGGCTTTTAAGCTCAACTCCCCAACTATTAAACCAACAATATAAATCAATCAATTTTTGTAGGAGAGGGAATTGAAAATCAGTTTTTAATTCTCTCAGCACTACAAAATAGAATGTTATTTATTTGGAAACCAGATTGCCCCTCTTCCATTTTTACATCAGATGACTTAAAGGGATATTAGGAAGGGAGTCTCAATAGAGGACAGGCTTACTTAGAGCATAAGAAGCCCTCTATGTGACATTTTTCCAGTAAATAATTTAGGGGTAAAAGTTCCCTGAACCTCACCAAACAAAACAAACATAAAAAGCAGCAAGTAAGAGATAAGAAAACAAGGTGAAGATAGTTTAAAAGTGCTGTTTACCTTCGAGAAAAGCCTATAAGAAAATTCGATTAAAAACATTCAGTTTGTTGAAAAATCCAAAGGATAAATAGAATAGGCGGAAAAAAAAGTAAAGAGAAACAGAAACACATGGAAAGAGAAAAGAAAGACACGGAAAGAGAAGGGGAAAAAAGAAAGGATAGATAATGGAAAAAAAGGAAAAAGAATAAAGTGTTTAAATGTTCAATAAAATGTTAATTAACTCTAGTTCTATCGATTTTACCTTAAAAATGGATTTATTTCTATAACAAGAATTTTGAATGAAAAATGTAAGAGAAAACTTTACTTTTTTATTAATTAATTAAGTAAACAGATACGGAGAATAAGAAGTTTAAATTATTCCTCGAAAAAGAGAATGTTCAAACGTTTATTAGCATGTATATACTCTCGTTTAAAGACAATATTCCGAATAGCTTATTATAACATACATGTACCGTATATATTTTATATATATATTATCTATGTATATTAGTATGTTTATATATATATATATATATATATACATTCTATATATTCATCTATATATGAACGTTAAATAAAGTATATAAAATGTATATACACAACTAGTTTCAATAGAATACGCATACAATTACATTGTGCCTGAAAGTGTACTGTTAATAATAGAAAATTGATGATATTGTACAAATAAACAAGGTGAAATGATTGAATTTTTCTCCGATCATATGTCCTAAGGAAAATGGTAGAAGATGATAGAGAAGAAGGGATAAAGAAAAATGAAGTTAAATGCTAAATCAACCCAATCCTCTACAAATAGAATATATGACAGTTATGATATTATTACTTTTGGTAATAAAAGTAATTATCTTTTGTATATAGACGTGGATGTGAATGACGTGAATATCTAGGAGTTGGCAATAAACTGGACTATGTATACACTTAGGCTTAATTAAAGGCTGATGAATATCTTTATTAAAATACTCATTATATACAGTATATATATATATAAACTACTATATATATATATATATATATGTGTGTAAAATATACATGGCATATTTTATATATAATATTTATAATAGTATACTCTTTATATAAATATATACGATCTAAAAAACACTTAAAAGAATCTACGTATGCAGACTATATTTAATAATTGTTAGATATATTCTTTAGGCTAATAAACATTCTACGTAGTTAAAAAACCTTTCAGCTATAACTATACCAACAACTTGACAAACTGTCTGTTTTATTTTGCTATAGTTTATAAAATAAAAATCGCTCATCAGCTTCGACGTAAAGTATTAAAATCACGTTCTGTTTTTAACAAATTACAACTAAGACAGTAGCAAACCGACTTCCTCAACTATTAGACTAGTCTCTCTCTCTCTCTCTCTCTCTCTCTCTCTCTCTCAGTCTTACTTTCCTTCATTTCGTTCCCTCTACTTCTGTCAACCTTCTCCAATCTGCCTCTGCTTCTGCTTCTCCTCCTCTTTCTCTCTCGTTGCCTGCTTCTTTCTGTATATACAAACTACATACTTACAACATTCTCTATCATTTCTATCTCTGAATTCCTTTTCCCATCACCCTCTTCCCTACTACCTTTCCCCATGATTCTCCTTTTCCTTCTCTCACCTTCATTTATAAAGAGTCGTTTTTTAATAATCGTGTAGATGGCGTCCTCTGACTCTTAAACAATTAGTAAACAAACAAAAGGGGAATTCTTCGAAAAGCAAGTCTTTTTGAAATGGCATTTGAATTGTTTTCTATGGGTATTCTTTCTTTTTTGGAAAAATCTCCTCTCATCTCTGTATATGAGGAATAAGGAAAAATAAAATGACTATCAAATCCATTCGTCTCCTTTCCTCAGACAGTCCCTCCCTTACGCCATCTATGTTTTCTTCTTAAAAGTAAAAAGTGAAATTAAATTTCGAGTCACGTGATCAACAACAAGGTTTTAAAGGGATTGAATTGGCGCGCGTGACGTTGTTCAATTAAATTGAATATCAAACAAAGAACTATTGACATAGATATGTGTTTAATTTTAAAGACCCCAACAACCGTCGTTCAGGAGAATTCGTTTTTGTTGAAGAAGAGGAAAAGATGGATTAAACACGACATTGAATTAAGTTAATAATTAAATTTAATTATGCCGCCTGATATGCTGGCAAACCGTTACAGCAGGCGGGATCTGGAATCGGTAAGAAGAACTGTATTTGACGAAATGTCAAATAAACCTGTTTCATTACGTGAGAAAATGGATTTATCAAAAACAAAATTGAGGAAATTCGAGAGGAAAGCTGCTGAGGACGCCTATCTTTTAGATAAAAGTTCTAAAAGCGTTAGATTTGATTTTGACGGAAGGAAAAAGAAAAAAATTGTTACAGGTTAATCAAAACTTTGAATAATTAAATTATCTATTTTTAGAACAACCATATTTAATCAGAATCCAACTTTTATCCGGAAGAAGATCGACCTTTCACCCCTGAATTTCCTAAATCTTTTACAATTGGCAAAGGTTACAAGCCTGATGCTGATAAGATTAAAAAACTAAAGCAAAAACAAGGATACCCCACAGACAACCTCTACAGAACATTGAGTAGATCTTCGTCCATAGATATTCCTAGTAGATCATCATCGGCAAGGACTTACGTTCGAACTCCAGACGGTGGTATTATTCGCACTTACCCTAGAGCTAGCTATACACCTCCAAAAAAAGGAGTTGTTCCTCCAATAAGAAGAACGCAAAGGTACTATACCTATCCCGATAGACACTCCCCGCCACTTGATGGCTACAGACCTCGTGGTAAAAGGCCAACAGTCCCAGTTGGTTTTGGATTCAATAGAGCTGTTGAGGTGCCAGACTATCTGATTGAACGAAGATCGAGATCGAAGACTCGTTCGAGAAGGAGGTCCAGATCCAGACAGAGATCAAGGTCTAGACATAGATCTGTATCGGCCTCTTCTATAAACTCTCGGCATGCTTATCCCGTCCATCTACCTTATATTGAATATCCCCCCGAATATGTTAGACGTCCCCGATCAAGATCCTGGTCCCGTTCTCGACCAGTTAGCGTCATTAGCAGAGCTTCAATGGCGTCCAATAGGGTAGTTAAGCATTATCATTGGTCTGATAGAACCAATAGATTAGCTGAGCCAAAGCGTTACAGACGCCATTACGTCTATCATCAACCAGGGTAAGATTTAATTGATAAATTTTTAGAATGTTTATTTTTTATATAGCGCTACGTTTCTTTTATTTTCATAGATACGATAGTCGTTATCCACGCATAAATCACGAGGACCCTGTCGATATTCGACTTAAGAGATGGATGAGGGCGAATGAAAAGAGAATGAGAGAAGTTGAACGTCTAGACGAAGAACGTTTTTTGCGTATGAAGCAAAAGGAGCAACCAGTAAAAACGATTCATGTCGTTCATGTACCAAAAAAGGAGAGACGAGTACCTGATCCTCTACAATACAAGCCAAAGAAACCAGAAGAGAAGAGTGAAGTATTCCAACGTCGTAAACAATATGATGAACTTCTGAGGTATAATTTTCCTTACTCTCTTATCTTCCTCTTTCTCCTGCTCGTTCATCATGCTACACATTCTTTTCGCTTAACACAACTTTGATTTCTGCTATGTTTGTTAACAGGAGATACCATGCGGAAAATAAAACAGTTTACACAACACTTAAAGAACATACGAAACCTCAGGGAATTTTGAAAACATCCACTCAAAAGGTTACTGTAGTTCACGAACCGAAACCTCCATTATCCCCCAAGACTTCAACAACAGGAACAGTTAAGTATACGAGGAAATTAAAGGGACCACAGAAAAATGAACCATGCCCTTTTCGAGGAGGTCAAAGTGAACCGGACACTGTTGTAGTTGAGAGAAAATACGAAAGGGACCCTGGAACGGAAGGTAATGGACCTGCTTATTTGACGAGATACAAACAAAGGCTGGATCAATTAGAGAATGACTCGAGAGAAGAAATAAAAATTATTGAAAAAGATAGAAAAACTGTCAGGATCAATGATATTGATAAAGAATTGTTAGAGGCGGATGAAAGATCAAAAAAACTTCAAGAGTCGGGAAATGGGAAGAGAGGTAGCGAGAATCCTGGGCGCGCTTACCTCTTCGACTCTGAGCCCAGGCAAGGAACAATAGATTTGGAAGATGAAATTGGATCAGAAGCTTCTGGTGTACGAAACCCACGAGATATCTCGGAGACTTCTACGGAAATTGAAGAGACGATAGATAGAAGCAATATCGAAACGGGTTCGGTCATAGAGAGAAAGGAAAGATATAACCATTCGACCTGGCCGTCGTACAGCATCGACAATGCTGACGGTGACGGAAAACAATGCGTTGTAAGGGCCATGTCTTATAAGATGCCAGAGATAAAACGAGGAATTAAATCGGATGGAGAAGATCAATTAAAAAATCCAGAAATGACTGTCCCCTCTTCATTGGAAATTGACGAAAATAATGAATCGTTTATTCTAAAGTCATCGTCTTTAAAATGGGATCATCCGTTTGTTAAGAAACCAGAATTTAAAGATCCGATTTACTTATCTATACCTATTCAATTGAATGATTTTAATGAAATCCTGCAGCAACTCGTTGTCGTTTATTGTATTGATGGTAAACATTCATGTAATTATTCAATCATTTATTCAATATTTGTATAAAATTTGTACAGGAGAGAAATGGGACTACAAGGAAGGTGACATTAAAAACTACGAAGACGGTACAAGGGTTGAAATCCCTTTTACCGATTCGTTTCAAAACCTCAGGTACGGATTAAAGATACGCTATAAGGAAGATACTAAAGATTTTAGTCCATATGCTGACGGTCATCTTCAGTCCACGCTGGATAAGGGTGTTCGAGTTCAGGTTCCAGAAGGCTGTTACGAGAAAAAGGCCAAATTGAAAATAAGGGTTGAACCTCTCGATATGAATGAAACGGATCTTAGCGAATTGATGGCATCGAATATTGCGCTGCACGCTTTAGCAGTTAGTCCCGTTGTCAAGATATCTTCCAGTGAGCCTATGTTTACTCCTATAAACTTGAAAGTCCCCTCTCCAGGACAATCATTCTTTGGGAGCAAAAAATTGGGTTTGAAATGTCCGCTAGGCGAAGTAAAGAATGCAAGAGTTAATTTATTAACTAAAACAAAGCGTTTCACGAGATATCAAGTACAAGATACACTTCATTCTGAGCTGGCACAGCAATACGATTTTCCAGTTCAAATTCCTGAAAAGAAGTAAGGGGTGTCATTGTTTCTTCGTTAATCTATCGTCTTTATAAATAGATATTGTTGATATTGTTTCTATTTTTATTTTTCTTTCAGCGGAGTATGTTATTGCGTCTTAGTTCTGGAGGGAACGGAACCAATAAGCAATGTGAGTGAATACAACTAGATATACTGCAGAATATAATGTATTGTTCTACTATCTAATTTAAAACCACAGCATTACGTTAAGAAAGACTCTCAAAGGTCCGAACCTTTCCAATTTATCAACGGAGACTTCCTTAAGAAACTTTCCTTAAAGGTCGCCTTAGACGAGCTAAAAGTGAAATCATTAGGGAGGCAGTTGGTTAACGTAACAGCAACGGATTCGGTAATAAGACAACACGGGTCTGACATAGGTGTCTCTGCTCATAAAATATTAAAAATGTGGCATAATCAGAATGTAAAAACAAATGAGAATGTTTTAATGAATCAATTAATTAAAAGCTTAAAATTATCCGATATGAAAGAAATTGCCGAAAACGTTCGAGAAGAATATAACGACTATTTATGGACGAAGGAGGAGCATAAAATAGATGAAATATTTAGAGAGATTAGCGAATGTTCGGCTATTTTGATAAATTGGAAATATATTGCTAGAGTATGCGCTCTGGAAGAGGAAGAAATTGATAAAATTGACAAATCTACAACTAATCTAAAGACTAAAGCATATAGAATGTTTAAAAAGAGTTTAAGTTTAATGAGAGAAGCCTATGATAGTATACGAAGTGTTCTCCAAGCCTACATTTCTATTCTTAGAGAGAGTGGATGTCCAAAGATTGCGGGTAAGACTATTAATTACAAATGCAATATTTTTTTCGCATTAAAACTATATATTTCTTTTATCCCTCTTCCCAACAAAATAGGCTATGTAGAAAAGCGTTATTTGGATGGATTCAACGTTCAAGTGACCTAAATTTGCAAATTTTTACCCAACTATTTTGTTACTTTAAACAGCAATTCTCTTCATCCGCAATATTGTCAAAAATTCCTTAAATCCTTTTTTTTGCATAAAATTTAAATGATTAATAAAAATTTATGTAAATTTGTTCCGCCATTTTTTTTTCATTTTTACTCGGACACTAAACGCTTTAGCGTTGTTTTTACTACAAAGACTAGGCCTAGGCGTCCATTATACGTTTTCTAAAGTAAAGAACGCGTCCGGTAGTAAGCCTACACCCTGGAGGCGCGTAAATAAAAAGGTTGAGTTGAAAAAACGCTAAAAAAATTGTTATTTGTCTCGGTTAACTGAAAAATAACAAAAAGGACATTTTTGGACAAGAAAACCAAGTTTGCAGATGAAGAAGGAAAAGAAAAATTGGCGGAAAATAGACAAAGTTGATACAAGGTTAAAAATCACATATCAAGAGAGTATAAGAAGTAATCGTTTGAGAATAGCATATAGAAGCGCCATCTGAGGGGGATTTAGAGGTTAAAATTAAGTAGTGAACACATCTAACTGTAGCTCAATATAGATAGTGCAATAAAGAACTTTTAATGGCCCTTCAAAAAGTTATCAATGGTTAAGAGATGATCATTTAATCTATAAAAGAGCGATTATTATATAAAGAAAATCTATATAATTAATAAGCGTAGGTGTTTGAATGAGCGTATGTTTGCTTACCAATCACTCTCTTGCTTCTGTCTAATATAGCTGAAGGAAGAAGAATGAATAAAAACACTATTATTCTCCTTAAAAGTAAATTAATTATAGAACAAACTTTAAGTTTTTATCTTGATAAAGGATTGTAGAAGGGTAAAATTGATTATTTCAACAAAAGTGCAAAAGAAAGAGATGGAGGTGAGAAAGTAAAAAGCATGTAATGAGTAGAGGATGAGAAGAAGAAGAAGAAGAGGAAGAAGAAGGAGGAGAAGGGGGTGGAAGATAGTTAGAGAAAGCGAAGAAAGAGAGGATGCAAATGCAATCAAATGCATAGAGGCAAACGACAAAGCGATAAGAAAAAAAAGGTTAAGAAGGGAGAAAGGGAAAATAAGAGTTGTAAGAAAAGTGAGTAACTGTAAAAAGCGTATCCTTGCATGTTGTCACATTATCAATATATCTATATTATATAAACAAATCATTCACTCTGTATAAATAAGAAATATTTTTCCCCTTACGAGAAATATCATTGGCAGCTGTCGAAACAAAACTTTCAACAACCCAAAAAGTACACACTTACAAAACGCATGCCACGCTTTCAATTCACCTAATAATGACCTGTACAATTCGTCCTTCAACCTCCTAACCTTGACCTTATTAGTCGCTATTTCCTTAAAATGTATCGTCGCAATACCGTTTAACAACTCAAACTGAAAAGTGCGCATGTGAGAACGGCGTCACATGTTCGTCAACATTCTGTTTATTATAGGTTAGTTGAGGGATTTTCTTATTTTATTGCGTGATAATCAACGATATCGTGTTTATAGAATATCGAACGTGTTCATAAGAGGATTTTTTAAATTTAGCACTTCTATTATCATTATTGAGTATAGATTATCATAAATATTGATATATGATTGTCAATAAAGCTTTAGATTTTTCTCTACTTAAGAAATTCATAATAGATCTTTAATGATAATTTTCAATACATAAAGGAATTATTAATAATTAGTTAACGGAATTATTACGATTAGTTATCCTATTGGCGGAAGAGGATGTCGCTGTTTCTATAAACTTTTTTTTTATATGTAAATGACAGCGCGCCAAATCTTGTCCAACATCTGAGGACTCGCGCTTGCACCTAAGTAGCTTTTAACGCCTATTTGTTCAAGTCATAAAGTGTATAACTTGGCAGTATTTATACCCTTTTTTTGCAATTTTCTCTTTGTCCCTAGCCCGTCTCCTTCCGTTTTGCTCATCAAGCACATTCATACATTAACCGATTCCCGTTATTACCAATCTATTATCAATACTAATGTTGTTATTACTCTTATTATTATCAGCATCTGTATTATTATTATTAATATTTATATATTTATATTTGCCGTTTATGCGATAAAAAATAGAAGAAAAATACTAAAAAACACTTTATTTTATTTTTAACCTAATGAAACTGTTTTAATATAAAAATAATATAAAAGTTTAAATAAACTTTAATCTTTATTTTTTATCTCTTTTTAAAAATATTATCTCAGTTGTTCTCAAGCGAATGAGAAAGGAAGGAAGGAAGGGAGAGAGAGAGAGAGAGAGAGAGAGAGAGAGAAGGAGAAAAAGAAAGAAAGAGAGAGGGAGACAGAAGATATGTAAGTAGATTGATGGAGAGAAAAAGAGATAGCGAAAATTCTAGACTATTGTAATTTGTATATTATATATATACATTAGTATATATATACTGTATATACTTTATATAGAGCGTATGACTAGACTGTATTTATTATATATATATATACTATATATATATATATATATTTATATATATATATATATATACAAAACGTCGGAACTATATATGACAATCACAACAAACTCGTTACAAAAACAGCGACACTGTTAAATCAAATTATTCGTTTTCGATACATTATTGAATAGTCTTCACGACTGTATACGCTTTTTATATCGTCCTTTATAATCAAGATTTCATCGATTTATTAGATCAACTTCCGTCGATAGACGCTTTTGTACATAACAATCGATCATATGACCTTTTTTTCGGGGCGTTTTTTCACGTGCGAACTTTTTCTGCGTGCGAATATTTGCATAACGCGAATAACAGATGGTGATTGGCTGAGAAAAGTTATGATTGGCAGTAGTGCTCCGCCTTACATGCTTCAGGTGGTGTCATTTCGCGTCGATACCTGGTGTTGAATAGTGCTGAAAATTGAATAAATTGATTGAAAAAAATACTAATTAAATATGTCAAAAAGAAAAGGACTTGGAAATTATAGTATAGCAAGTTTAATTAACGAAAGTTCAGATGAAGGTTTGTTGTATTGAATTCTTATAATCTTGTAACTAATTAGGATATATATTATATATAAATGAATACGTATCTGTATACGTATTTATATGTATATTTAGATGTATACTTTTTAATTGATACATAACCGAGTAATTGTAAAGTTAAGAGTCAATTTGAATTGCTTAATAGATAATTAAGATTAAGAAAAGAAGAAGATGTTATTTTATCTAGGTCTTAAAATTAAAATAATTGGATAAATAAAACTAAAACTGAGAGTGTCTCTTTTTGTTTCTTTTCCTTTTTATCTTGTTAATTAGAAATGTATCGCTTACTTTCATTGTTTCAATCTAATTTTTCTTTTAATCAATTATTTAGTAAAGACGTAAAAAAAAAAAATTAAAGGATAAGAAAGATAAAAAGGAGGGAAAATGATCAAATGTAACATTCTTAAACTTTCTTTTCATAAATATATATTAAAAAGAGTAGAATGAAAGTGTATAAGCCCCCCGAGAGGCTATGTATACTGTATAGATAAGAGTCTTTTGGAGAATAATTTAAGGTGAGCTGTTCAATTGAACTGACTAAGTAAAGGTGAGTATCAAGATTAGGTATCGGCTGGCTGTAAGAACTAAAGAGAAAAGATTTTACTGAATAAGTAAAAGGTGCGAAGTTTTTTCTTATGGGATAGAAGAAAATCAAAATCTTTCCAATAAGTCTTTAGTAGAAACACAAAAGTTTGCACCTCCATTGTAATTTTGCTTTTGAAATAAATTCCGATACGGTATAATTTTATAGATAAAAGGATCTATATACCTATAGACAGTTGTATCATTGTATCATTGTTGTACTTAAGCTATTTATTTACTTTTATTCGCCATCATGTATTATTAATTATTTTAATTGGATTTGAATAAAGAGAATCAATCTTGAATAGTCTTTAAAAAAGAGTTATTCAAGTGAAGAATAAAGAAAAAGAGAAAGAGTTTATAATTAGATAAAGTAATTGTAAGAGAAGAATAGGAAAAGGTAGATGTAAAAGGGAAAAAGAGGACGAGAGATGAAGAAAACGAATGTGAAGTAGTTGATATGCTTTTAGGAATGAACAAATGATTGAATGAATGAATGAACGATTAAGTAGAGAGCAAAGAGAAGAAGGTGGAAATGGTCTTTCCACACGGTCCCTTTTTTGCGTAGTTAGAAAAAATAGAGAGGAGAAAAAAAGAATTTTATTTTTTTTTGTGCTTTTAATGCAAAATACTGATTTAACCTAAAAATATTGAAATCGTAAATTTTCAACTTTGACCCTTCTAAAAGCATCAGTAATCCGATTAAAACGTTTTTCATTGAACAGAATGTTTGATAAAACACGGTAGACTTTTTAGAGTACAATGAAAAAAATCGATGTATTTAATGTATAGCTCATTTGGAATTGTTTACGCTAATGGCTGACACTTCCGTATAATTAGCAGTAATTAACAAGTAACGTTTACACTGAAGATTTCCGATCAATTTTTTAGCTGTATTTTTATACACAGATGAAACGGGAAATATTGAACGAGAAGATGAAGAGGAGATAGTCGTAGACTTGGAAAAACAAGACGAAAACTCAACTGAGGAAGACACTAACAAAAGAAAGCAAAGGCGTTATAGAACAACTTTTACTAGCTTTCAATTAGAAGAATTAGAAAGAGCATTTCAAAAGACACATTATCCAGATGTTTTCATGAGGTGATTTACTTTTTCTCCTACAACATTTACCGGAAATGACTTTGCTACCGTGTAATTAACGGTGATTAATATAAAAGAGATCAACGAATGTAAAAAATTCGACACGCGACCAATTTGTAACTTTGCTCCTAAATTGATTAATTTTCATAATAACTCGTTGTAAAACGATCTTTACTCAATGATGCTCTAAAATTATAATCTTTTTCTTTTATTTATAAATGTCACGTGACTCCGCAAGTCTTTTTTTTTCTTCCAATGAATTTATAATTACTATGATTATAAAGGACGATTAAAAGATGATAATGAAAAATTATTATTATTACTTAACAGAGAAGAATTGGCTATGAGAATCGATTTAACGGAGGCCAGAGTTCAGGTAATTGATTAAAACGTATAGTTAATATAATTCTATTTATATTTAGACGGTAGGAACTGTAGCAAGCGTTTAAGATATATTTATATTTTATTAATACGCTCTCTCTCTCTCTCTCTCACTCTCTCTACTTATAGTAGACACTATAGATTAAGACGAAATGGTAAAGAGCGGATTATCGAGAAATTATCAGTTATAATAACATCGTTAAATACTCTTAGCCTTAGGCCAATCAAGAAGGGATTAAAGGTGATTTTACATAAAAATTATTATAAATTGTTGAAAAGGCTAGAAAACATTATACACAATAAGGTAATAGGCTTAGATCAACAGGTTGTAGAGCTAAATTTGTAATTAAAAGGATTAAACGAATTTCTCTCGTGACATAACAATTTATTCATTGAGAAAACACAGAGAAAAGTAAAACGAACGAAACTATTTGAATGAAAGAGAGTAATCGAAACCCTAAAGCTATATTCGTAAGGATAAATTGAACGAATCATGCGAAATTAATTGCCGCTTTTTACCAATGTTATTGCGCGAATTTTCGCACAATTAACTAGGCGAGTTGTCGGGTAAACGCAATCAAAAATTCGATTTGAACAGCAATACAGCAATTCGTGTGCAAGGATAAAGGCAAGGAGCCGGCGGCAATTTCGTCGGTAAACTGTCGCGAGAGCCGCCGCCGTTTATGTTATTTAAAGAGAGAAATGTATCGGGGAACGGGGCGGGTAAAAAGTGAGGAGAGAGGCACGAGCTTATTTTGTATATGTTTAAATAAACCCTATCGGTATTCTTTTTTCATCATCAAAGCGGCGTCCACTAAAGAACGTGTCATTTCTCTATATTTAGGTATGGTTCCAAAATCGTCGCGCCAAGTGGAGAAAAAAGGAGAAGGTTGCTCCTCAGTCAGCAGTATACGGGTCTCCTTGCGTTGCGTTCCCTCCCCTACCTCCAATTCCTCTGGGCAGTCGTCCATTTTTCCAGGAAGTTCCGAGAATACCCTTAATTCATCCTTATCCAATCGGCAGTCTACATCCGTCACTTAATCCGTTTTCGATTTTAAGACCAACTCCTCCTAGTTTTCAGCAAATTCTCGCCTCAATGTCGTCAGCTTTAAGAAGTCGATTCGAGGAAAGTTCACCACCAACTTCCGAGGAAAGAGAAAAGAAAGATGTATTAGATATGAGAATGCCATCAAGCATTTCGGCATTGAGGATGAAAGCGAGAGAATTTGAGATGAAAATGAATGTTTAATAAGAAGAAAATGGAGAGATAAAGAGGAAGAAGGGCAGAAAAGTAAACACAATATATAGTATATTTATTTATTTATTTACTTGTTATGTTATATTTATTCAATATTATTTATATGTACATATATATATATATATATATGTATATATATATACATTATCTATATGTATATATATATATATATATATATATATGTATAGTACACAGAATATAGTTATCAGGACGAAAGAAAATATTGATGAAAATCAATAATTCATAAATTAAGGCCTATAAAATATTAAACTATAAGAATAAAGAGAATTCAAGAAAATAAATTTCTATTCTACTATATATTCAATTAGAAATGATTAAATAAATATATGCTTACAGTATATAGGTTTATATGTATACATAAATGAATATATACTATGTATATGTTTGTGGATATAACATAGGTATATAATGTTCGCGACGTTACACGATATAAGAGAGAGAGAGAGAGGGAGAGAGAGACAGAAAAAGACAGAGAGATAGAGAAAGAAAGAAAGAAGAAGACAGAGAAAGGAGGGAGCTGGATAGGAGAGAGAAGGAGGGAAAACCGAAGGGAGAGGTGAAATTAGACACGCGTTCAGCATATACTCTTTTCTTGAATTACAATGAAATTTGTACACTCTATACCTTTATTTGTTCATAAAGATATAAACGGTTTATTCGTTTAATACAACATTACTACTACATAGACGTAATTTATGAATTGATTGATATAACAAAGATATTACATATATATTTGTTCATAAACTGTATATACATGTTTTTTTGTCTACGTTTGTTTTATTGTTGATAAATTCAAGTGTCGATTTGAATTTATACGTTTCAAAGTATGTTTGTATATGTACATTTGTTTGTGAGTAAGTATGTACTGGCTCTATGTAAATATATACAGAATATACTCTGTATATAGTGAAAAAAGAAGAAAACCCGTGGTGCCATAGGTGCAATACACGACTAAGAGTTTAATTTAAATAAATAGATAATTTATGCTAATTTATTCACGAGAAGTATTCGTATTATCACTATTAATATTATTATTATCTTAACTCGTAGATAATCATCAAGCTTTTCTCCTTCACTCTTGTATTCTTGTCTTTTTTTTAAATATTAAAAATCAATAGTATAAAAGGAATTATTGTTTATTCTGAGAGAAAAAATACATTCGGTAGATAGGCTGAGATAGTGTTTGCATAACGAACAAGAATTTATACTGATACACTAGAACAACATGAATGTATGTACAAAGAAACTAGTATAATAATAAGGAAAAGATGATAAATAATAAACATTTTTCATTTCCTTCGGAAATTCGATTGGCCATCCTGCTGAGAGCTAAATACAACTTAAACTATACCATATACAAATATTCTATCTTTTACTTTTTCTTTTTATATATAATGAAATAAAATTGATAAAACTAATATTTAATATATTTATATAGAGAATATATATATATATATATATATTAGATATATACTGTATATATATATATATATATACATATATATACTTTTATCTTTATTTAGTAGCAGATATACTTTCCCCCCGTTTTCAACCTTACCCATTGATGGTCTATTTGCATAGATTCTCTCCTGCTATTATACTCTTTGTTTACTATAAATAAAGTACACTTTTTTATATTATTTATAAAATTTTGTATGCTTAACGATGAACATTGGCGATCGGAACGAGTATAATGAACCGTCTAGAAGGAAACGTACATAATAAAGCCATAATCGTCTATTGACACTAGGTTTGAAAGAAAACAGGAAGAGACGAATTTGACACTTGTATACGCGCGATTATATCGAATTTAACGACTGTTTTCTTTACAGCCTGACGAAATGTTTGAAGAGAAGAATTATTCTGTTATAACAAAAGGGAAAAAGAGAGGAGAAAAAAAAAATACTTTACGCCCTGCTCTCCTTACAAATATTTTTTATTATATGTGTTCATTTAGAAAACTTCCAATTATTAATTAATTAATTAAGTCTATATGTTTATCATTAATAATTAATTTATTCATATAACTTTTTAATTGTTTAGGAAAGTATAGAGAAAAACGTCTTTAAATATTTAATAATTTACTATTATTTAATAAGGAAACTTATCCAGTCATTCGCTTAATACTTCCTTAACAAAATACTATCTTTGCCCTTAGCAGATATTATCTATTACAAAACATTCAGTTAGTGTTTACCTTCGCTTTTCCCTTTATTAACCTAAAATTTGCCTCTCTCCCCTCTCTTTTTTCTTTTCCTGTTCGCAAAGCCTATTTGTTCTTCTTGCCTATTTTCTTCTTCTCTTCTCTTCTCTCTCTCTTTCTTTCTTTCCCCGTCCTTTTTTTCTGCCCCTTTCTTTCCGCCTCTCTTCTATGACCTTTTGTCTATTGCGCTCACTCGTCGTAGCAGGTGCAAATATATAAAAGGGAACGGAAAAGATTAAGCTTACGCTGACCGCCCGTTATCCAAACGTGAACACGTGTGGCCCGAGTTCGAGTGCAATTATCATCTATTAGCCATTCAATAGACGAGTGGATTGGGAAATGGTGGCCCGGATTGAAAATTTCCTTGAAGTGGACCGTGCTAAGAGTATGAGGTGAGAGAAAAAGTCACGTGACCAAATCCTCGACGCCTTTAAAGGGTATGTAATGTAAATGAAGGGAAAGAAGGTGGTAAGAAGTGTAGGGGGAGGGCGCGAAAAAGAAGTTGAAACGACTTCATAATATAATAATATAATTATAAAATCTCTTTGCCGATCGCCTCTAGTTATTGACTCGCACCAGTCGCTTTGAAAAAGCCTAATCCGGCAATTTGTTAAGAATTATTTATTCAAGATTAACCAAACACTTTGACATTATTTTGCTAATTGCGCTCTGTACATATAATTAATAATCGACAATAGTTTGTTTTCGTTTGTTTTCAACCGACGAAACAGGGGCCTTTTCGTTTTCACACCTGCGTTAATGGAATATTTTCGCTCCCTTCTGTCTGCTTCGAATCTCTTTTCCGTTCTGTCAACTTTTTTCTCTTTCCCCTCTCTCCTCTAAGAAGAGTGCACTTTCTATCCTTTCTACTATTTCTCCCTCTTCTTCTTCTTCTTCAGGCCTTCTGCACAAGTTTTAGCCTAGAATTCCATGGCATAAAATCACTAAGGCGCTAAACGGTTTACTAATTTGCATTGGGTGCTTTGCTTTGATTTAAATCAGTTGGACTTGCATTCAAAGTGGGCGCCAAACGTTTTTTTTCCCCTAAATAAAATATATATACGAATGACTATACAGGTTATGTATATAAAGAGGGTGGTATAAGAATACAGGCGCAACTTGTCACCTCCTCGCCAGGCGCTTTAATCGAACTAAAGTCAATAGAGGAGATGAGCAAAAGAGATTTTCAATGAATCCAATTTGATCCAACTTGCTAGCGAGACGTCGACCCGGTTAAATTGTGTCAACAAATGAAGAGGATCAACGGGCAATTGTGATAATTTTTATGAGTTCGATTTGTTGACTATCCCACTTTTTTGCATACCTTTTATGTCTTTGCGATCTATGTTCTAAGTCTCATCGTACGGTTCGCGTTCCTTTATTAACCGACAGACGGCGCTCTTTCTCACCAACGTCCAATGATTATATATTTGACCACTAGATGACTCTTGTTGTCAGTTATTATTAAGTACCAATGATAATAATAATACAAGTATAAAGTAATATGAAAGACAAATAAAAATTGTTAATCCTTTATTTATAATTTTTCTGAAAATTGTAAATTCTTCTCTTGGTTCTCCTTTTCCTTTTGCTTCACACCATCTTCAAGTCTTTTTAACTTTCTGCCTAGCGAAACGTAAACGAATCCTAATATGATTAAATTGAAAAACAAACATAAGCCGGCGGCAATTGCAACTGATATCGCTACTGTCAAAGTCGAGTTATCATCGTTATATCTTTTTTTGTCTTTTTTGTGTTTCTTTTTTTCCTCATCTGCATGCAAAGAAGTTTCAGTTTTTTATGACCGCTTTCTCCTTTCTCTTTCATTTCTTACCTTTTCGCTCGGCAACCAAGCTGTTCGGACCTGGTGGACCTGGAGGACCTGGTTTACCAGCAGGACCTGTTGGTCCATATCCTGTAGGTCCGGGCTCCCCGGTGAATCCTATATTACCAACTTTTCCAGTTGGTCCTGGCGCTCCAGGCATTCCCATGTGTCCAGTAGGACCAGTCGCTCCAGTTGCGCCTCGATAGCCAGCTTTAGTATCAGGATAACCTACAGATTTTTCATATTACATCTCTGTTAAGATTATATAGGGAGATTTTCTAACTTTTTGACCTTTGCTTAGACCACGATGCAAACATTTTAGTCAATATTTAATAAGTAAAAAAAGAGAAGCATACCTGTATCACCCTTCCTCCGAGGTGGTGTATTTGGCGGTAGAGGGGTTTTGGCCGAAATTTTCCATATATTTAGGACTGCAAAGAAATATTTTAACGTTTGAAGATTCAAATTTATCTCAAAATGAGATAATAATAATCTTAAAGCAAAACAAAGTAAAAATATACTACAGACCAATTAAGAAGAGAGAAAGGATAATAAGGTGAGAGAAATTCATCCTCTCTCCACACAACCAATAAAATATCAATACGAAGAGTGTTCATAGAATTTGTCTTTTTTAGCCTAAATCTTAGGCCACTGGCTTTCTTACTATCGTACCTGGTACGTAACGTCTCCTCTAGACCTATGATTTACTATTGAAGTCAAATAAAGGTATAATTCTAAAGTTTAACAGCGATTATTATAAAAGAATTCCAGAAAAAGCGACTGGCCTTGTAGATTGAACTTTTGCTGTTTTTAATCTGATCAGAGAAAGGTTACTATAATACAAACTGGAACAATGCCTTAGTTTGAAGGGTTATTTTCATTTGAGAAAGAGTAGGACTAAAAGGTAAAAGAAAAGAGGGTATAATAGATATTCTTCTTATAAGAGCCACCAAAGAAGATGGAAAAGAAAGAACTTTTAAAACTAAAAGATAAACATCTCTCATTTGTAAGGAAAGAGGGTAAAAAAGGGGCGTGCAGGGGATTAACCTAAATTCTAAAATGTATAATGATAATCGAACAAACTGAGCGCAAAAGGTACTTCTTAATATAAATATATGTGTATATGTTTATCGAATTATCCTTTATAATAGGTGAAACAATGTGCAAAAGAAATTTGATTATCTAAAAGTTTTATTCATTCAAGAGAAACTACTCTTCTCTGTAGAATATTTAAGCATATTTTCCAATTTTTCTATTCTTCCCTTCATCGATATGTAAATAAAAATAGTTATTGCCATATTAAAGAACATGCAACAAACTGCAGCAACCGAAATGGAAATCGTTAAGGTTATTGTTAAATTCTTATTGTCGTCGTCATCGTCGTCGTTTTTACAATCACCGTCTCCTAAAAAAGCAAGAAAATTGTCATATTGGTATTATTAACGATTAACAGATATAGTACTGAGGCTGTCTGGATTTTCGAATGTTCCCGGTGGGCCAGGAGGTCCCGGAGGTCCTATCGCACCCTGCTTTCCAGGTAAACCCACACCAGGACTTCCTGTATATCCCGTAGCTCCAACTCTACCCTTCATTCCTATAGAGCCTGGAGCCCCTGGATATCCCATTCTACCAGTATGACCAGTTGCACCTACATATCCAGTATCACCTTTTCGCCTACTCGGGGCTGGGGGACCAAGCGATTCAGAGCCTATTAAAGATGAGGAAAAAAGTGTATACATATATTATATGTATAATATGTATTACATATATGTTTAAGAATTCATAATAAGTGTATTTATAGCAATAGATCGTTGTAATTGACTGAGGAAAGGAATTTGAATAAATAAAGCAAAAGTTTGAATTAATATATATATATATATATATATATATATTTCTGATATGCGAAAGAGAAAAATTAATAAATGGACTATTGCTCGAAATGCAATTATTAATTAATATAAACTATTATAAGATGTAGAATGAAAATGTTACCTTTGGGGCCTGGAAAACCAGAATTTCCTTGGCAATCTGTTGTATTGAAACTAACTGCTCTTAACCAAATAAATTGATTGAATATTTAATACTTACAACTTAAAGCGAGTAAGCAGCAAGTCAACAAAGACAATTTTAAGAGCATGATTAAAACTTTGATAGAGTTTTGATAACTGACGAACGAAAACTAAAATCACTTATAGAAAAAATGTTTAATATAACTTTTTCTTCAAATATTGAACAATATCATTATATTAGTCATTCATTCCTTAACCCTACTAGTATCAAGATTTCTCTTTTTCTCCTTTGATCTTGTAGAGGGCAGTCCGCGGAGAGCATACTCTTCCCAATCAAAAACAAAATAAATAGTCTTTATTTAACATTTCTAAGAAATCACTTTTCGCGAGTGGGCAAAAATGCATAAAATTCTGTTTGTCACCTAGGCCTAGTAGAGAAAAAATGGAATCTGTAGGAAGAGAATATAAAATAGAGATAGCGAATTAGAGGGTATGGTTGCCAAAGAGATGTTGTTTAACTCAGTGAACGTCGGATAGGAATAGTTGGGTAGGTATGAAACAAAAGAAGGAAAAGAATAGAAAAGAATGTGATTTATGTTTGAATGATTGAACAACAATGGTAGATAGATTTTGTATGATTTCAATAGTAAAACAAAACTTTCCAACTAGTGAGACTATATTAGACAGATGGCGTTGTATGCAAAAATACGTCCAATGAGTAGAGACGGTTTAATTGGTGGGGGGCAAAAGGGGCATAATTAGTTTGTTTAAAGTATAAGAGGTTAATTTGTTGGAAATGAGGAGACATTGGCATTTTATGGTTAGGAATGAAGGAAATATTTTAACTCTGAAAGCATAATTCATATATATTTATCCATATGCCATCCACGTGCAAAGATCTGAGTTCATTTAGGCCAAAATCTCAGCAAAAGTAAGTTTTTTTGAATATATTTTACTGAGTTTTAAGTTGGATTTTACTTGACCTAAATCTTATCGTAACAGACTGTCATATAATTGTATAGGCTGAAGTTACTTTTGGCCATTATTTATAACTGTATCGTATGTATGAATCGATTGATACGCTTTGTTTAAAGTAAAAAAGAAATTGAGAGAGATAGGAAGGAGATTTGTAACGATACATTTTCTGATATAAACACTCTCAATATTTGTGTGTGCGTGTTTTTGTGTGTAGATACAAATATCATTAATTCAATCAACCTGTCAATCGATTGATTATTTCCCTATATTCATAAGATGGCAATGATTTTGGAATACGGTTAGTTTTTATTAAATATCAAATTTGATGATAATACTATAATGAATTATATATATATCCGTAATATACCAATATCAACTGTATATAGATATGAAATATTTTTTTACAATAACTTTATTTTTATTGTCGAAGCCTTCTTTCCATATATTTTATATTTTTTAAAGCTATAAAGTCTTTAAGTAACGTCAGGGAGAAACTTCTTACGTTACTGACAAATTTACAGGCCGCACAGAAAAACGGTCGTGATGAATACTTTAAGGTAAAAAAAAATCATAATAGAAGAATTAAAAACAAAGTAAAAAGCTTTACAACGCTAAATTTCACAATATATATATATATATAGATATCTATACAGTATATACCTTCTGTATAAAGTATCTATATATATATATACAGTATATATATATATCTATATTTATAAAATATGTTTATATACAGTAGTTGTTGTAAATAATATTGCACTCATCTCTTCTCTTGTTTTTACTATACTGTGTTTTTTTTCTATATTCAGTAAATTTTGAATATTTACTTTTCTTCTACCAATCACCATCATTATTAATCATTATATTATATTCATTCATTTATCAATCATCATTGAGTGTTATGCTTCTGTTTCTATTGTGCCATTTACTAATACTCTTAGTAAAATTCTTACTCCGTTTGCTCAACATGATAAATTAAAAGAATGTAATCAAATAAGAAGAGAAACCGTTGAATGCTATCTAGTATGTCTCTTGAATAGCAATACATTTTCACTTCCTTTCTCTTAAAAAGCAGTTATTGCTATTTTCTCCCTTTATATTCTATTGGTCTTAAACGCCTCTGATTTTTCTCTATTTCTTTCTTTTCGTAAATATGGCGATTATTATTATTAATAATATAACTTGTTTTGTTTGTCCGTTTATTCAAATTAGGAGAGGGACGGTTTAAACACTTCGATTCTAGTCATTCAAAGTTTGTTGGTAGAGGCAAAGGATAAATTTAAAAGAATGAATGAACACAATGGCCAGGATGAAAATGGATCTAGCAAGACAAAACTAAATAATAACAATAATAACAGTAGTAATAGTAATAATAATAATAATAATAAAGAGTACGAATCGTTAAAGAGGAAGAAAAGTTTTAAAGCTTGTAAGAGATGCGAAGAATTGAAAAGTCAAATAGAAACTTTAACGGATGCTTTCAAAGGTATAAACAGAAGTATTATTATTATTAATTAACTATATAAAATATTTACAAATGTTATTGTATTATGTTTGCTTAGACGAAAAGAGAAATTTGAGATTGGATAAAATTAATCTTATGCACGAAGTTAGAAAATTAAGGAAATCTCAGATGGGTAATAGAATTATTGATATTTTATTATAATAACTTTAAAGTTAAAACATTGGTTTTAGTGTAAGAGTAAATATTTCCTATTCGTTGCAGAAAGGGAAATCTTTGTTGAGAATTTCTGCCGTCAATACGAACAGAAAATGATTAAATTTGATGAAACTCTTTTGGAAACTATTCGCGAAAAGAAGAATTTGGAAATTCTCAATTCAGAATTGAAAAAAGAAAAGGAGAATCTCGCTAAAAAAATCGATACTAGCAGACAACAATTAATGCTTGTAAAGTTTCTTTTACTTTTTCCTTTGATTAGGCCTACATTTGCGCTCTCTCTCTCCGTCTCTCTCTCTCTGTCTCTCTCTCACATTCAAAACGCTTTTTTCCCTTTTAATCACTTAGGCAAATTCGAGAATTTTACTATTGGAAAGGGAACGAACTACGTCGACCAAAAAGAAAAAAGGACAGACGAGAGCTCATTCGGCGAGCAATTTAAGCCCCTTGGACCGTCATCTAATCATTTCTGAGCCTATTGAATCGCTGATTAATAGGAATATAAACGGAAAGCCAATTTCCTCCGAAAGCTTACATTCTTTCAAAAATCGAGACAAAGACGTCCAAAATGAGGAGAGTTTAAAAGCTACAGATGGAGCCACCGATAAGATTGATCGTAAACGAATGGAAGAGGATCAAGTTCGGCAAGTGGTAGACACTTGGCAAAAATTGAGTAAGAAGAGGACGAGCTTTTCAAATATTTCCAAGTTTTTCGGTAGAAATCGAAATAGTAGAAGCGATTTGAGAAAGACGAAAAGTCTTCGAGATTTTACAGTCGATGAAGTCGCCGCCTGGTTTGATCAATTTTTAGGTATGGCTTGCTATAAAGAGGAGATAAAAGATAGCGTTTGCGATGGAAAGGTAAACTATAATATAATATATTAGCCAATCGCAAGACTAAACGATTAATTAATTGAGTTATATAAACATTAATTAACTAATTAATTAAAATTGGTTCATTTTAAAATGAATTGGGTTTGTTATCTTAATAGTTTAACTTTAATTTATAACAAAACAGATGCTTTTGGGTGTTGATACTTCGGCGTTGAGTTCAATCATTAAGTTCAAGTCACCTTTACATTGTAGAAAAGTAAAAATCGCTTTGGAAAGATACAGAAACGATACCTCGAATCCGTATTCTTTAACGGATTACATAGACAACTATTGGGTATCGACTACGTTCCTGGAACACGTTGGACTTACTAGATACGCAAATAAATTTACTGAACAAGTAAGATGGCGCTTGAAATAGAATAATGAAGTAATTGAATCATTCGTTTGTCTCTTTCCTTTCTTCAATATAGTTGATTGACGGTCCAGTTTTATTATCATTAGTCGAAAGAGATTTGGAAGAGTTTTTAGAAATAAACGAATCTTTCCATAAAATTAGTATCATTTGTGGTATAGCAATGATGAAAATTCTCTCAATGAATAAGAACGTGAGTATCCCATTTTTGTATGATATGATCTTATAGTTTTTCTTATTATTCTTATGTAAAGTTGTTGGAAGAGAGGCAGAAAAAGTGCGAGACTATTGACGAAGATTTATTGGTTTGGAGCAATTATCGTGTTCGAAAGTGGTTAGATAGTATAAATCTTCAACAATATTCGGATAAAATTGTAGATAGTGGTATACACGGTGCAGTTTTCCTCCTTGACGAACACTTCCAAGCTGAATATTTAGTGGAAAAATTAGCTATTAGTCAGAGAAGTTTGAGGAAACACCTGTCGGAGCGCTTTGAAGTTCTTACGAGATCTGCCAGGTAGGTCTTAAAATTACTGAAATGCAATTTATCGATAAACTTAATTAGCGTTACCACTGGGGTACGCAGTAAGGTATGATTAACAGGATAGACTAGTAAATTCAGTGTTATCTACAATAAAAAAAAATACATGTGTATAGTTGTCGTTGATACAGGCTTAAATTAGCATATAACGAGTCGCACCTTTTGTTTATACTATACTCTTTGTGTACGCTGTGTAATGTATCCAATCTATTTAAATATGCTGAACAATTACATATAATGTAATTTGTAACCTAATACAAGGTAACAAAATACCTTGTACGGAGGTTATTGAAAACAGAGGGAGTAAAAAGAGCAACTAACACAACTGGCAGAAAGATAGGCTAATGTTACTTTTTTTTAAATTTGTATACAAAGTATTGTTCCTTATACTATTAATAATTTCTTCTTTGAAAAGGAAAGTGCGAAGAAGAAATCGGTAGGTGATAAAAAGAGCAAATCTTGTCATTCATTTATTTAAATTTGAGTTGAGTAAATTATTAAATGAAAGGAATACATTGAATTAATAAGTAAATGAATAAAGAAGAGATTAATGAGATTTGCTATACTCTTTCCTATTATTTTCAACCTTAAAAGCTTAAGATGATTAAGGAGAAAGTACACGTTTTATATTTGTCTCGGCACGTGTACATTTCTAAATTTTCCTTGTTACCACTTTTCTACTTTTCACCCCCTCCCGCTCTTCTTTCCTCTCCTTACCAATTTATCTACTATGTATAGAGATGGCGACACTGAATTAATCAGCTTGCATACTGTAAAAAGTAGAAATTTAACAATTTAAAAGGGGATTTTTTTTCTTAAAAGGAAACAATTTCAAAAGAAAAAGATGAAATAATTTAACTTATCTGTGCAGTTTTAATTCCGCGTAAAAGATTACATAAATGTAAAATATCTACCATTAACGACAAGTTCATTGATTTATTCTTTTTTGTGTGCGAATGGAATCATATTTTTTTCCTTTTATCTATTATAGTATTTTGAGATTACGTGTGCAGTGTTTCGTATATGTACATGTCCTAGATAATAACATATATATTATATATCTTTAATTTACATCAACAGACCCACTAGTGCGATTTTTAGTGATTCGACGAACGAAAGAAGAAGCTCTGCAAATTCTTGGAAAGTGGGTATTGAAATATTTCTGTTTTCGATAATTATCATTGATGTACGCTTCTTTTTTTTTGGGTCATTATAGGATTCTCTTGGAAGGATTTTAAGAGGAAGATCGAGAAGTAGATCAGACGCTTTTAATTGAAAACTTTCATTTTTTTTTTGACAAGCAAATTTTATTGACATATACAAAATATTTACAGAGCATATGATGAATGTTCATGCAGTGTAGGCGACATATATAAAAATATAAAATATATTTGCATGCATTAAATATATACATATATGTATATATATAAGATCTATGGAAAATGCATATAGAATTTTAGCATAAACTCTTACAGCATAGCTTGGATGTATGCATATATACATACTGATAGTCGTTTTTATAAAAGTACGTACTGTTCATACAGTATGTATATTAAGGAAACAAATATATTTTTGTATTAGTATTATGTCTACAACTACGAAGAATTTGCACAATTATTAAACTTTTATCGTTCATTGTTTCTTACATTTCTCCTTTTTCTATTTATTTTAACATTTTTCTTTTAAAAAAAAAAAAAACAATAAAAGAAAAGTGAGAAAACCTTAAATTATAATTCAAACAAATAAAAAAAAAGGAAAAACAAACAAACAAACAAACAACGAAAAAATACTGAAAAGTATAACATATAATATCACATTCTGTGCTCTTTTTCATTATTTTAAGTACGAAAAGGGAAGGAAACAAATGTTTTTTCCCTTTTTTCTCATACTTATTCACCTTTGACGGAGACGATATTATTCAAAGCAAAAAATTGGCACATGGAAAAAAAATTACAATACACCCTTTTCATTTTCCTCCGACTGACTAAATGAAACGTGGAAACTGTTTCTTTTTATTTTGTTTTTTTCTCAATTAATTTTTATTTTTTTGTTATTTTTTCCTCTTTTAATAAAGATTTTGGACGGATATTCAATTCTTTCCATTATGTAAAATATATATAAAGATATTCCACCTCTAGATAAATATTCAAAAATATATTATTATTATTATTAATATTAATTGTGTTCATTAGTCAATTTTTACGAATAGATTATGTAGTGTTGTTTTATGATGCTACTGCTACAAAAAACAATTCAAAATTTGCTCAAATTGTCATATTTTACAAATAAAGGAAAAAGGTATAAAAAGGAAAACAAAAAACAAAACTGCACATTTTAATACATCTTATATTATCATACAATATATGACAGAAACATATTGTGTAATGCGTGACGTAACAATGCTGTTGGACAGATTGCAGGTATGTGCTTGTTCTTCATAAAACTAAAAAACAAACAGAGAAAAACAAACAAATAAACGTTTCGTTCGATTGGTCCGCTTTCACCAGCCTAGAATTATTCTTGTTACTCATTATTAGGTCAGCGTATTTTAGAAAAAATAACAATCGTGTTGATATGATTTATTTTTTCTGAAATGGTGTGCTTTCCTAATAAAAAGCAATAAGATTTTTCTCTCTTTATATATATACTGTATATGCTTTTAATACAATTTAATATATAACAACCTGGATAAATGAGGCACTAAATATTTTCAATTTTGCATATGTTAATTAATAAATTACATTGACGATACATATGTGTACCTGTAAAATTTGGATTTATTCCTATGTACAAAGATGATATGATTGTAGATTGTTATATGTATAAAATGGACGTTATGCAACTGTATCTCGTAAAAGTAGAGAGTAGAATAGATGTTTAGAATAGAAAATAACGATTATATACTATACAAATATATATATGTATATTTAAAGAATTTAGTGTTATACGCTACAAATTCTCTTTCCCTCCTTACAGGCGAAAAGTTTCAATTCTTTCTTATTTTCCTCGAAATTACTTTGATTGCATTTTTCAAAATGATTATTAAGAAAGAACTTGAACAAACAAAGAAAGAAGACAGCAAGGAGAAAAAGTTAATGTCATTCGTTTCATTCCTTTTTTTTTTCACTTTAAAAGAAAAAAGACGAAGAAAAGGAAGAATATACACAGGGATGACAAAGGATAAAGTACACCAATTTTATCCTATAAAAGTCTATAATCGTTAATTAATTATAAAGCCGTCTGATGCACGTAGATATGTCCGTCGAAAGCAGCCGTAAATAGTATTTCCTTACTGCAGTAAAGGTGTGTTAAGTAAGTAATGGCGATAGAATTCATTTGACGGTAAAACTCTCATTAATTGCATTATAGGAGCATGAAAATATATACTGTATACATATATATGTACATATACATGTATATATTAATATATATCTATATACGGTATATATAATTTACTTAGGGTGTGTATTTCGTAATTCCCTATATGAGAATAGAGTTTTGGCAAACTTCCAGAAAAACATTGTACCTTATTGTATCTGCCTTAGCTAATGATATGCTATTTTCTAATATTATCCTAACCCCCAGCAATTTCTTTTTTTTTTTTTGAGAGAATTCTACAAGATTTTAAGTACGGAAATGTTTCTTCTAGAAAAAAGTCACTCTAAATTAAATAGAGAGTATTGTAACATCAATGTGGACAGGCAGATTGGGGGGGGGGGAGAGAGAGGGAATAAACTAAGGAAATGAAACAATATATATATATATATAAACTGCTATATAAATAGCCTACGTTTTTAATCTTATCAAGAAAAGATATGAGTCATAAGGAAAACAGAAATATTTTCTGATTATTCATTCTCTGTCGTAACTTGCGTTATTGGTTTCATAAATAAATAAAGCTTGTTTTATCTTAATTTATTTTTTGTTTTACTTTACAGTCCTAATACACACTCCACTACTACTGAACAGATGATGTTGAATGATTGAAAAAAAACGCGCGTCACGCATTATTGATTACTTTTGCCCCTAAATTATTCTCGGCTGCTTTAATGAGACATGTTTTTCACCCAGGTATATTTTTCGAAGGGAGCTGTGCATTTCCATGGAAACGCCGTGGTAAAGATGAAACGGAAATACCTGTTCCCTTATTTCCCTGATACATACAGCCTGCGAGTATGCTTAATATGCGTATACAACACATTTATACGTAGAAAGGTGTTATGGAACAAAGATATATATATATATATATATATTTATAAACAGTGTACAATATATATATTATGTATAAACTATATATACATATATATATATATATGTATATGTTGTATATAATTCGTTAATAAATTGACTTAAGTACTACTATCGTCCTTTGATTTTGTGACAAAAGTATCTATACAAACAGTAGAGTCGCTATTGAGAGAGTAAAAAGTGTATAAAATACAGTTGCATGACGTCAGTTAAAGAGTTACTGTTGTCGTTTTTGTACTGATTGACCTGGTTTTTGAAAATGTTCAATTAAGTAGAAAAAAAATGGCATATAAAAAAAGAAAGAAAGAGTAAAGAAAAATATAACAAAAAAAAAACAAGGGTCTTGATTATTATGGACTTTGTATAATTAATTAACCGACGTGTGCCGTGCCCGCGTTACGTTTCTTTCTTTCAGTCATTCATTCAGTCAGTTAGTCGAATACGGTTGACGGATTGTTAATCGGGTTTGTGAACACTGTATATGTTTTCCTACTTTTCATTTCTCCCTCAATAGAATAAATACAAAAGTAGAAGAATGAACAGATAAACTCTCTGCTAATATTTTATTGCATATTTTTTTTCTTTTCGCTTATTTACTACTAAAAAAAATTCAACAAATTCTATTATCTTCTTTTATGCTTATTTCTTTTTGTAGACAAAAAGAAGAGAAACAAAAATAAACAAAAACAATTTGAGAGAGAGAGATACAGAGACTGAATAAGTGTTTTTCGTACCAAAAATTCACACAACACACAAATAAAAGTATTATTATTAAACTAAATTGAATTGTAAGGAAAAGGGAAATTATCACTTCGCATTTCATTTATATTATCATTAATAAATTGTCAAAAATATCTCTTAAAATGTTAAAAATATCAAAAGAAAATAAAAATCCTCTTCTTATAAATTATGAAGTATTTACGTCCCTTTTATTTATTATTATTTCTTATAATTCATATATTTGAATACTATACTAGGTCTTAATACGATTTAGGATTTTCGTTTAATATTATAAACAGTAACTCTTTAGTTGATGTTCCTTTTAAAAATTTTAAAAGGAAACACTTACCAAGTGTTTTGTTAGCTCTGCAGAAATTATTCACACACAGTTTTTGTTTTTCTTAACTAAAATTAATTGCCCATTTTGAGAAATTGAGAGAAGTTAGGAAGGCGGAGATGCGTGTAACAGTTACATATACACTTACGTACGAATACATATTGGTCTATAAATGTATATATGTATAGCATTATATCTTACTTGGAAGATACAGAGAGAGAGCAAAAAAAAGAGAGAGAGATAGAATATAAGGATATATAAATATATGAATAGATAAATAGAGAGAGAGAGAGAGACTGACCGGTTAATAAGGGAAGTATGAGAATACAGTAATATCTTGAATTTTCTTTCCCTTCTTACTATTCTTCTTTCTCTGATTATCTTCATCTTCGTCTTCTTTCCATTGACGTTTTTCTCCTTCTTCTATTCCTTCTCTTCTGATTCCTTCTCCTCCTTCTCCTCCTCCTCTTCCTTCCACTTCTTCTCTTTCTTCTTCTTCAACTTACTTATCTCAAATGTTTGCTACCAACTCTGATAGCATTTGAGGATAATTTTGTTCAATACTCAACGACGGTAGGGTTATACTTTTATCCCCTTCCCTTAAAGTTATTAATTGAAGAGCTGCAGAAGCATTTTTATTATCCAAGTTCAGTTGAGGAAATAGTTTATCAGTAACAGCATCCAATAAATATGGATCTTCTCCCGTAACGAGTGTCTTATTAGAGCAGGAGAGAACTTTTCTTGGCCTAAAGTGTTAAATAGATTATTAATTAATGGTTTTTACAGGCAATGAATAAATATTATAGATCTAAACTTATTTTCTCTTCTTCTTTTATGGCATTTTTTTCCCTTTCTATTTTTATATAAATCATTTTTTTTCTACTTAAAAACATTGTTAGGTTCTATCGAGTTTTGACTTTTTTATTTGCCTCAAAGGACATTTCTAATTTCGTCTATCACGTGATTGAACGTAGGCTTGCTTCAATATGTTTTATAGTCTGACAGGCTGTTATAGAAAAATTATTGGCTTATCAGACAACAGTAGATAAGCCGATGGGTCAAAAATTGTACGTACACTTGAATAGCAGGAGGTATTAGATAAGCGATGTGATTTTCTACGAAGATGAAGCTAAATTATCATCTTTGAATAAAAGAGATATTGTTGAGATTAAGAGAAAAAATATAGAAAAATCTTAAGAGAGAGAGAGAAAGAAAGACAGAAAACATAGAAGAAGAAGAAAAAACAGCATTATATCTGTTCATATAAAGTAGCATAATGATGATCGATTCAAAAAGACACGAGCCACAAAATAAACATTTCGTGTACATAGGTACACGTACAAATAAACATGAACGTTTGACTACAAGGGGCGAACATGTGACGCTCTTAAAATAAATCATCGATTAGAGTAAGCATTATACGATAGATTTATTACGATTGTAAATTAGGGCCACTAAAAATTGAATGGAAGGTTTTGTTTACTATTTTTTTGTATATTTTGTTCGAAATCCTATTAATTGATTGATGACCTAAAAAGGGACGCCATACAGTTGCCATAAAAAGCATTGCATAACTGTCCTGAACAACGTTTAATAGAGCGAAAAATCTATTGATCACTGTTCAGTTGTCTTAAAAAAAAAAGAATTGTAGATTGTCCTACTTTTCCTTATTCTACATAAGGAATATGATAATTGTGAATTGAATTATTGATAGTTAAAGCGCTAACTGACCTTCCTCTTCTGGCGGGGGCGACAACAACATTTTGCCCTTTTTCCACGCTTTCGAAGAGTTTATTCAGCAAATCAGGATTGGCTACCGAAATCTTCCTCTCACCTTTAGGTGCCATTTTGGACGGAGGTGTTACTGGGCGAACTTCTTCGTCGCTGTCTTTGGTTCCAAGAGGCGGAAGAATTGGATAGTTGACTGCTGGAGAAACATGAGAGGGCCTATTGGGTTGTTGCCAGAAGGATTGTGGGAATGCCCTTAGTCTCATTGGTAAAGGTTTCGGTTCTAGGTAAAAAAAGAGTAAGGTATAATTGTTAGCTTTAAAAAAATGTAATTGAATATTCAATATTTCTATAGAGAGAACGAGAGAAGAACGAAAAAAGAATTAAATAATAAAGAGGGAAAGAAGTAGGCCAAGTTAAGTTTTTACATATAGATTATTAATACTATTATTTCTCTTATGTATAAAGTATTTCTAGGCTTTTACTAATACTTCTACAGATAAACAAAGAGCTTCCACGCGATATACCTATTTTCTCTATGTATATAGATGTTTTTCTATAGTATTAAAATACAAATACAAAATTATCAGCAAGTTCAATATTTAATAAATAGTTTAGACTATAGTTTTTTGTAACCTACTTAAGGATACTCTTCCCTTAAAGCTTCATTAACCTTAGATTATTGAATTCAAGGTAATCTATTCTTTACGACATTATCACGATTCGATAGTTTTCCCAAGTTGATTCGTGAGTTAGATAACCTAATTATTTAAAAAACAGACCCATTCGAAGTTTGTAAAATGGGCAGGCTTATCTTTTAGCCTATAGATTTAACTACAGTCGATAAATGATTCGGATAGATTACAGAACTTATATTTTTATAAGATTTTTTTGGGTGGATTAATAGCGGTCATGGTTACCGGAAAACATGGTCAAACACCTAAGTCGTCAATTGATTATAGGCTTAATCCGTTTAGAAATAGTGCAAACTGTTTACTTTAATACACGTTTAGCGTGCCTTGTAGATCATTCTTAAATATATCATCATGCTAGGCCGTTTTCGTCAATTAAGCCGATTGAAGCCTACTTCCGATTCTATTGCACTTTCAATGAATTTTTATTATAAACGTTTTTCACTAAGAACAAAATAGAAAAGAGACATAAACTGGTAAGAATATCCAACAAATATATAAATAGTTAAACAATTTCGTTGCACTGAGTTATGAATATTTTAAAGGATTCTTGTTATTATAATCTATAATCATTTTGATCAAAAAAATTCCTTCCTTTTTTCTGTCATTTAAAGAATTTCTTATCAATTTAACTTCATCTTTAATAAAATAATCTATAAATCTCTTCTGTTTGCGTGAATTTTATTATTGTTTGAGGAATATTTTTACTATTTATGCTATCATTATTATGTAATAATTACATTTTAAAGTACCATTAACCCAAATGTTTACCGTCCTCCTCTCTTTCTCATCCTCCGCCCTTCTCACTCACTCTCTCTCTCTCTCTTTAGCTTGCTATTGTATTCAACAACACACTGTTCTCTCTTTCATTTTCATGAATAAATCAATATAGATGGAATGAGAAAGAAATTTTTCTAAAATTTTCAACCGCTACCTAACATGCAGATTAATTATTCTATTATCCTAAAGAAATCTTAATCTCTCTCTCATTCTCTCATTCTCTCTCTTAATAAAATGCTGAAAAGAGGGAACAGCACAGATCCGCTCTCTAACTTATATTGCTTTTATATGTACGAATACATTAATACAAGAACTTAATGCAAAACTATTACCTTTATGCCTTGGTTTACACAACTTTGGCGGTGCAGGTTGTTTCCGAAGACCTGGTGCAGGTTGCTGACTGGCGTGAAATCTCATCAACTTGTTACGTCTCACTGTTATAGGCTTCTTCTCTTGAAACTCGTGGGCGTGATGCTCAAACCCTGGTTTTCTTACATATGTAGGTCCACTTGCTGTAGACGAATTAGGAGATCCTAAACTTTCGTAATCGTGATCCTGCAGTGGAAGAGGGCTAAAGGTAGAAGAACTATCCGAATTATTATTTATTCTTGGAGAATCCAATTCTTCTTCATCGCTTGTCGTAACCAAAGGCCCTGAGTTTGTTCTTTTCGATGAGGACGACATGTCGATTCTATTCAGCTAAAAAATTTTGTAGACTATAGAAGGCGACTATAACATCGTCGTTACTCCACTCTTTCTATCACTCTGTACAAACACCTGAGCGTAAATTTTCTGTTGCTATGGCTACCGGACAAACGTTTCACCTTGATAATCGATTCGACGTTTATATCTTATTCTTTTTCCAGCTTTAAATCGTCTTTTTTAACGATATCAGAGCAAGCGACAGATTCTAGAAGTAAATGCTAATCAAGTATTGACCTGTGCATGCGCCTGACAAGTTTATTCATGTTTACCTGCTTTAGCAAAGCAACGATTGGTTGTTAAGAACGCCGTGGCGCTTTGTCGGCGTTGCTAAGAGGATTGGTGTTATTTACCAGTTATTTCTTTTTGGCGCCAATTTTGAACAGTAATTTTTTTAAAAGTCATTCAACGTAAGGTAAATCGACCAATAGAAAACGAACTTTCAGCGCCACCATTTTTGGCTCGCTATTTCTATTTTACTTTTGATCAGCTAATTAACATCATTGAGTAATTGATTATCGTTTTACAATGAGTAAAAAGCCATTCTTAACTGCTTCACCCTAGTTTTCAAAGCGTTTCCAAACCGATTCATTCGCCATCTACTGTATAAAAAATGTTGAATTTTCAAGAAAGAGGAGCAAGGCGAATGAAAGATTTTTTCAACGTGCATAACGTAATACTTGAAAAAATATCTAGAAGTTTCAAATATCAATTAGCATACATAGGTATTAATTTCATATACGCAATATATTGTATAATAAATATATAGTTGATTGTATATACTAATAACAATAAACTTTGCAGTAGTCGTTGTTGAATAAACGAACTTTTACAAACGTGGGAAACGTCGGTGTATTTTTTTTTTATATAACTGCATACAGTAATGCAGTAGAGATATACTATATTTTATAAAGTATATACAGTATACATATACTAATATATATACAAGTAAATAAATACTTTATTCATATATAAAATTTCATTTATTCGCACTAACTCGATACTAATGTATGTTTGTTTATATAGTAAAAATGCTCAGTAATCTAAGATAGGTTTGAAGATATTAAAAAAATTATGATAAAAATATATGCAATTAGCAGAAATCAATTAAAAGGAAATGCATAGCCAAAAGGCAAAAAGAGTAGAGCTAAAACAAAATTGTATGCATACAGGAAGCTAAGTCAGTTAGATAGTTTTAATAGTCTTTTTTCTCCTTTATAGATAAATTAATCTTTTTAAGATAAAAGGGAAAATTGATTGCAATTTAAAGAAAAGGCAAAATCAGAATATGAATTGAGCATTATTGATACAAGTTAATTAATTTTATCCAATTGTCCCTTTTATAATCATTGTCACATTGTAATAAGACGGGTCTTAACGCTTTCCTTTTAATAACAACAACATGATTTTGCTTTGAACTAATCGATTCGTCGTTTACGTATTCCAGACAAACAGCTTCGCTCTCCTCTAAATTAATGACCTTCAGTGGTTTTTTATAATCGGTTTGTAAACTTTTTCCCGATGAATATAGACGAATTTCCTTAGGATCTTGAAACAACACAGCCTTCCTAACTCTCCAATTTCTTCTCCTATTACTCTTTATCCTGATTATGTCGATTAACAAGCTTTCCCTGTTACGGTCTAGATTGTCCTCGCTTTCATCACCAGAACTTGTAGAATCTGAAGGTTCTGTGCTACTCTCCAGTAAGGCAATCATCGATATTCTTCTTATACTGGAGACGGCAGAAAATGCATACATTACAAAGTCTCTATCCTGGAAGTCCTTAGCTTTTTGCTGAGGCACAATTTGTTGAAAGTAGCCACCGGAAGTTAATTGTTGGCAGATATCAAAACCTTTTTGACGACTAGGAGCAAAATCCCAATTGAGTAGCCAATCGATTGCTTCCTTACCGCTAAAGCATCGGATATTATTTCTGTTTTTCAGTTGTAATCCGGCTGTTGGATCTTCCATTGAAACTAAAATTTCACTCAAGTTATAACCTAAATCTACTAAATTGTTGGCGTCGAAGGAACTCCTAGTTAATTCTCTGATAGCAGCGCCAATCAAGCTTAACCAGTAATTCTTCTCCGAATCAGATGCCGCTTGGAAGATTACAGATCTCTTCTTTTTTGATAGGATGACTTTGAAAGTATTCTCCCTTTTCGTCTCGTTCTGATTGACATTTGAAACGCTACAATTGCTTAATATAATTCTAGAGCATAAATGCTTGCATCTTTTTCTATAATATTCTAGGCAATCCTCCTTGAGTATCGTCCATCTTGTTTTCCACCTTCCGGTTCGCTCATTCTTTTGATTTAAATAGCCCTGCTTAAGTACTATAGAGGAAGACATGTCGATCGCGTTGTCCTCATTCTTAACTTGCATGTTAGCAGATAATTCATGAAGACTTCATAAGCACTAATATCATTAACAAAGACTTAATCAATCATATGAAATTATCAACACATTAGTTGATTCAAAGCTAGACTTAGGCCATCGTTGCTGCTAGACTTGCAGGCAATAATTTTGGCCTAGTTGTTATTGTATACACAGTAGATAATAACAATACGAGTCCAAAGAGTAACATGGAATAACAGAGAGCCAGATAGAGAGAGAGGGAGACAGAGAGAGCGAACAAAATTAGATATATAATAACCAAATGCCTAAAGAGCGACGGACAGAGACAGAGAGAGAGAGAGAGAGAGAGAGAGAGAGAGAGAGAGAAATATTAAAAAGACTGAAAAGCACAGTAAAATACAGACAAAGCAGAAATGTCTATATATATTTATATATGAGAAAATGTAAGAAATTTTCTTGTTAATTTCTGTCCAAAAGTTCTCTTCTACAACTCCAACATTTATTGAAAATAGTTAGCGATAATAAGGATTACTGAACCGAAAAATACATTCGTCTGCTATGAATTATGCCTATATTTTCATTTGTAAAAAAAAGAGCAAGAGATGGAGCCACAATACAGATTATCATACAAGACTTGAATGTACAATGCGATTGAATGGAATTTAAGCCGATAATGGGCGTTAGTTGTAAATAAAAAAAATAGATAGATACTATATAAAATGAAAGAAAGAGAGGAAGAGAGAGAGAGAGAGATTTTTGTAATTTTTTTTATTATTTTTGTGGATGAACTGACAACACTTTAAAATTTGATTTGAACAACAATGAGGATAAATTAAATATATAAATACATTGAATAGTTTTCTCTAAAGTAAGAAGATAGCTTTAGAGAGAAGCCGATTTTTAAAATCGACTAAATATCCTAAAAATTATATCTTTAGACAAAAGAACGAACGATAAAACTTTTATAAATAAAGAATTATTTATATTATAAACAAGTTCATATTGTATAATGTCTTCATTTAAAGGTTTACTTTAAATTATGAACAATATACAATATTCACTGTTTATATATATATATGTATAATATCAGTATATAAATAAAGATAAACTCTCTGAGATCTAATTTCTAATTAATCTTATTCTTGTTTCATTCAAATATTTCTTCAACTTATGTAAGGGATTTCAACTAATCCCTAAAACTTTGAACAACTAATTTAACTATCGTTCGCTAATAATTCATTGGCCAACTGCCAGACTGGAATTAACTTGCGGCTTAATTCTAAGCCGATAAAGTTTATTGTAGCTCGGCATGTTGTCGTCTATAGCTTGTCGAACGTGTTTGGGGAGGTCGGGCATGATATTTGGACTCTTTGGCTTAGTTGCAGATGGTTGAAAAGTTGTACTTGTCAAAACCCCTTCAAACCACGGCATCCAATCCCTAGTTTAGCGTAAAAATAATATTAATACAATAACAACTAAGAAAGTTAAGATATTTGCAAAAAGAGCAGTAATTAAGCGTATAACATGACGTGGAGGGGGAGACAGAGGGGGATGAAGTGAGATAAAGGGATTGTTGAGTGAGAAAATGAATAAGAGATAGTGAGAGCGGGGGCGGGGTAGAGAAGGCGATATATATTCAAAAGAAGAAGTAGCCGTTTCGATCAAAGTACTTACTCAAAAACATTCATATTTTGAGCTGTTTGCTCCCAATTCAACATTGATTCTTCATATTCCATTCCAACCTTTTCGCAGTATTGTTTGAGCAGAGAGTCTGAAAGAAAAAGACGAACGAATAAGAAAGTATGGATCAATAAACATAATTATCAGGCACTAGGCAAACGTGATTACAGCATAAAATCCATAAACGTCACCAAATGACTTATCTACGTGAATGATGGCCTAATAATTTTTCTTTGGTCATTTAATGTTACAGTTAAAAATTACCCGGATATTTTAATAGATCATCAGCATCTACGATTATTGCCTGTTGTCCCAATTCTTCAGTAACCAAGTTGTAAACTTGAACAAGTTCTTTAAAACCCACTTCACTGGCGTCAAAATGATCCCAACCAGTTAATTCCTTGTTCAGTGACATTTTGTATAGGGAATAAACACTCTTTTGTGGATTCCTAATCAAAAAAGTATGTCGATAACCCTCGGGAATATAGTCTGCATGCTGGAGTCTGCCGACCAGGTAATAGGCCATATCCTTGACAAAAATGGAAGAGTATCCTTAAGATTGAAGAAACAATGCAAATTGAAATCAGGTGAAAATACGTGTAAAGCTCATCTTTTTTTTTGCATACTTACCAGGATATTCTTTTTCGCAAAGAGCCTTGATGTCCTTAAAGGTGCAATTGTCCTGCGTCGGCTCGTTTCTGTACCTAAGATGGAATTGTAAAGCTATTAGTGCTTTCTTTCTTGCCTTAATAAGGGAGAAAAGTAAAGTATTTATTGGGGGAAAAAACACCACACAAACCTGGAGCTAACACGCTCTGACGAGAAGTAATAAGCGCGCGAAAACGGCTCCAATAGCACCTGTTTGTTCATAAGTAGCAAGATATAATGTACTGTGGTTAGGGAGAATATCTCCATTAAGAATTTCTTTCTTACTTTGATGTCCTGTTTGTTCATCATGGCGCGAAAAAAGGCGGTTGAGATGGTACGGGGGGCGGCCCACAAGAAGGCTCTCGACTGATGCTTCTTATTCAATGCTGTTGCGTTCATTTTGATTGAAGTAAGACGTTGATGCTGTCCGGAGAGTCTAAAAAGGATGCGGTTTGGATTAACACCGATAGAGTTGTTAAAAAGAGGAGGTATTAAAATGAGAAGAGGAAAAGGCGTTTCCCATCTTTCAGCTGTCACAGAATCCGTAATAAATTAAAAAAAGAATTTAGTAAAGGTGGCGCTCCAGTACGAAAAAATTATTATAAATCAGAATCACTAGAGTATTTTTGAATGGAATAAATACAAGTTTCAATTTCAAACGTTATATAAGAGCTATTAATCAACTTATACATATTGTTTATATAGCGGATTAACGTTGGCAATATCTTAAATTCTAACTATCACCTATCGATATGCATACAATGTATAAATTATATAATATCCAGTATATAATATATCTATACTGCCTTTAAATAGCTACACGTAAAAGTATTATATAAAACTTTCTCAATTTCTGTTTGCAAATTTGATGAGACGCAACCGGAAAAAATTTCCAACGCCTCATTACGAAACGTAAGCGCCGATTTTGAAAAGGTGTTCTTCGTCACGCATACGACGCTAATTTTTGCAGAGGCGTCACTTTTGGAAAGCTCCCCCTATAACATTCCTCTAAAGATTCTCTATTTTTTTTTATACATACATATACTAATAGTAATCATTCCTTGCCACGTGACGCTCTCTCACAGTAGGCGCTTACTGATAGGCGTCATCTACTTATACACGTTGTAATGAGCTTAGCAAAAAAGACGCCTATACGAAATTCGACCGGCGTCACTCCGTTTCGCAATCAACTTGTTCGATTGATGAGTTGTCAGGCGTTAGAACAATAACGTGAATTTTATTAATCGCTTTTTTTTCAACTTCCGAGAGGAGTGACAATGTCCTCGTTGATCGTTGATAAAGCGCTAATCCGATTAATGGATTATCTAAATTCGCTAATTCGTTTTGTCGAGCATTATGTATAATTATTAATATACTTCGACGTCGACAGTTTTTCTCACCTTATTCTAGAATTTTAAAAGGAACTTTTTCCTCCGATTGCGCTGGTCGAACTGACGGCGTCTGAGAATGTGACGCCGTTCCTGATTGGTCTGCATACGAGACATCGACCAATCGTACGTTTCGATGCTTTTAGACGCCTTCGAAGCTCGTCGGAATGCGGCCGCCGTAGAAGTTTCTAACAAGCGGTATGTAGTCAAAGTTTTAATATAAGGGGTAAAATATCAAAATATAGTTTGCCAAGCATCTGGGGAAAAGTCCGTAGAATGTAAATGTAAAGTTTGATTGAGTAGCTTAATTAACCTGGCTTTTCTTCATTGCTTGCCATCTTTGGTTCCCTTGACAAACTTTTTTTAATAAACAAAAACGGAAAGGTTTGCCATCATATTTGAAAGGTAACCCTATATCAACACAATTCTCAATTACCGTTTCGTTAAAAGTATTGTAGCTGTTTGTTTTCTATACAAATTTTATTGTTTTCCTTCTGGTCTACTTGAATGTTTTGGTTAGGAAAAAAGCAAAAAGAGAGGGTAATGCTTTTTTTAAAAATGTATCTTTTATATCTCTTTCCTCGCGTCTCTCCTCTCCCTTTTCTGTCCGCTTCTCTTTTTCTCTTTTTCCCTCTTTCTTTTTCGATCTATCTCTGTCTCGCTCATTGTCGTGCTCCATCTTTGATGAGGGAGAAAAGACTAATTGTCGGATTATAACTTTAATATAGAATGGTATTTAATGCATTTTTTATATATCCTTTCCTTAATGATGAAGGACTTGCTTAAGATTAACTAAGTAGCTGAGGAATTTTCGTGTAGAGCAACGCGGGAATATCACAACCTGTCAGGTATACGTTCCCCAGATTTACATCCATATCAAATCAGGGATAACGGTCTTCTTTTCAATCACGATTCTCATCAGACCTCTTCAAAGCTCCAGCGTAAATGAATATTCATTAGACCGACAGAGAACGTGTAAATTCTCAACGTTTTCTTAATACGTTTTTATTTAGAAAGAAAATTATATAAATTCTTTGTTTTATTTTTACTAATCATTCATCAAAGCTCCTATTTCACTTGCACTTTCATTCACTCTATACTCTTTCGCTCTCTTGCTCTTTCACTCTTTTCTTCTTAGTCGGTTTCTTTGATTTATTGAACGGAGAAGTTTTATCTATATCTTTTTATCCAGCGTCTATTAAAAGATGAAATGATAAATAAACCAAATGGTCTGGCCCGTCTAAATCCTATTTCAACTTTTTTAGATATTTTCGTAAAGCAAAAGGAAAAAAAACATTACCAAACTAAAAATAGAAAGAGATATGCATTATTTTTCATACGTGGAATATATTAATTACATCCTTACCGATCAGTCCTTTTGTATCCATTGTTCTTTTTCTCTCTCTAAAACAGTGGTTTCAGCGAAAAAACTACTACATAGCATACTTTTCCTCGCTGCCACTATTCATATAGCTTCTGAGCGGAATATATCAATATTTTTACTTGTTTCAATACAAATAGAGATATACTTAGTTGTATATTAGACGACGTCGGCGTCTCTTTCTATCGCTCCACTTCCCTCCCTTTCTGGCTCTCTCTCTCATTAAAATTATTTTGAAAAGTCTCAGCTGTTAATTTTAAATTAAAGAAATAACGAGAAAAAAAACCAGTAAAATATTCTAACAAGCGTTTTTTCACTCTTTCTTTTTATTATATAGAAATAAAAAGTAAAGTAAAAAATAGAAAAGAAATAAACAGAATAAACTATACGCAATTTTTAAAAGGGAGAAGGCAAGGTAAAAGTTTGCCATTTGACATTTTTAGAGAGACAGAAAGAGAGACAGACAGAAAAAAAGAGAAATGTAACGATTCCTTTAAAAAGGAAGAGAAAGGGAGAAAATTATGAGAAATATGAATTTATGTAAATAATTTATACGATAGAGATAAAAAAGAAAAGAAAAACAAAAGAGACGGTTTTTTTTTATAAAAAAAAAGTAAATAAAAAAAAAGATAATTACATAAAATATTTGTAGTAAAAAAATATGTCTTTCTTTTATTTTTTTTCAACTTAGATTTTCCATATGAAAATATAATAAAAGAGAACAAATTAGCGAGACTGCTAATTGTTAATTTAAAAGGGTGTTGTTGATCAGTTACTTCAATAATGACATTAGTGAATACAATCAATGGTATTATATTTCAACAACACATGACTCGTTTCAAAACAACTTCAACTGGCTATTCTTATTTATCATATACTAAAAGAAATATAACGGTATTATTACCTTTCAAATGAGCGATTGAGTAATAAGGTGACTCTTCAACGAGGAAGGATCGAGACAAATAGATAGATGGACAGATAGACAGATAGAGAGATAGATACAGATATATAGATAGACATGTAATGTACCATATAGTTGTATGTATATAAAAAGCGCTTATTGTATAAATAGTTGCGCAAAAAATATATACTATTTCTAGACCGGCAACTGACGAGAGGAGTAGAGAGATATAGAAAGGAGAGAAGAAAAGAAGAAGAAAGAGACGAAGAAGGAGGCGGAGGAGTAGGAGGGGGAGGAGGAGGAGATCGAGAGCAAAAAATAAGAAGTACAATACTAATGAGAGGCATAGAATACGACGGGTTCAATAACATTTTAATTATGATTTCTCTAGTAAATAATCCTCAAGTAAAAAAAAAGAGGAGAGAAAAGAGAGAATGTAAGCATTTTACGTTCTTGTAATTGACGAAAGAAACTAACGAAACAACGCATATGCTTTCATGCGTAAAAATTCGCTTCATCATTCATCCGTTTCAAAGCAACCTAAAACTGCTTTCGACGCTGGTTCTGTCGAATCATTTAACGACCTTGTAACTACTTATTGAACAAAGAATTTCTATTAATCTCTTTTTTTTTCTTTATTAATTTCAATTTTCAATAGAGAACCTTATAAAGAAATTTAGCTCGTATCACTTACTTAATACAATATATGCTATATACAGTTTATATTTAAATAAATACTCACAGAAATCAATTAATCCAGTAATAAACAAATGAGAAAAATGTAAAACTTAAGAGATTCATTATCTTAATAAAACTTTTTGGGAAATTCACGGTCACGTTTCGTGGTCCGACCAATCCTTCTTACCGCTTTGATGATCTCTCATTTCCGACGTAAGTTCGGTGAGGCGCATTCAAGTCCAAGTGATAAAGAAAGAGAATGACAAGACTACTAAATAGCGCAAGTATACGAGTAGACGTTACTGGAGTAAGTAAGCAGATTTATATTTCATCATTTTCCGAGCCAAGTGTCTTTACATTGATTATCTTTTCAAATAATGACGTTATTTAAGGGGTATATAACATTGATGGAATCGTATGATTAAATGCAGGAGATATTTTACATAATTCCTGTCGTGTTTGTCAATAGAATAAGTAAATTGATTGATGATTTTTGCTATTCTATTTCAAACTCCATCGAAATTTAAAACCACTGTAAACTCATTTATTTTTCATAAATCTCTACTTTATCGCCTTATTCCATTCCTTATTTTACTTGAAATTATAAGAATATACAATATGCATTTCAACTGCTTTGTAACAGTATTAAAAAGTTTTTATGCCAACTTTTGCGCTACTTCCCATTAACAAATTAAGTTAACTTTTAAAAAAAAGAAACGGAAACTAAAGTTGAGCAGTTAATGACAGGCCACAATCGATTTCGCGCTCTTTTTTTCAACTATAGACAAAGATAAATGACAATGAAGGTAATTTTACATTGATTTTACGTTCCGTTCCTTTGAAATTTGCCTGTTGAACTGTATTCCTATCACGATTAGTCACCTGACTATAAAGCTCTTTTTTTATCATCTACTGTCAAATGTAAAGAAAAAGTTGAAGGAAGAAAGTGAGTTACAGTGAGAACGGAACATAATAAAGAAAAACACATTTGACAATGGTGAGAAGGCGATAAAAGAAAGAGAGCGAAAAAGAGACAGATTAAGGGAGCAGAAGAGTGAATAGGAAAAAGTATAGGAAGGAAGTAAGGCAGGCAAAAAAAAAACACCTGTTATATTGATATCATCTTACGGTTGAAAACTAACAAAAAAAAGGAAAAGTAGATAGAAAGAAGGAGAGGAAGAAAGGAAGGAAGGAAGAAAAAAGAAATTTAAAAAGGGGGAAAGGTATAAAAACTATTTCTCCTCGTAGTAATACTGTAAAGGGGAAACTAGATATGAAATAAATATATCATATTCTTTCTCTTTTTCTCTTACACCTCCTTATTCTTCTTTTTTTTCTTTTTCTGTTTCTTCTCCTTCTTCTTCTTTTTCTTCTTTTTCTTCTTCTTTGCCTTCTTCATCATTCTTTCTTCTTTCTAAGTTTTTGAATCAAATTCTCATCACGACTGTCACGTGATCTAGAGATCGTCTTTTTGGTTGGTAAGCGCATGCGTCTTCCGAAACGAAGCGGTCATCCGAAAAAGCGTATTTCGCGCTGTTTTAGAGATTTACTAAAGAATTGCTGAAACTATCGGGACGAGTAGATTCAGCAGAACCCAACTAGGCGTTTCTATAGTGACGCCTCGTAGACGCATTTTCGAGAGCCGCCACCGACTAGGCGTCGAGCACGTTTCCTCGTAATCCGTCCGAGGTTTTTTTGAAAAAAGCTTTGTTTGCGTAAGGGTTAAAACGGTTTCTATAAAATACACTATTCATAAAGTAGCGTTCTGGATAAAGGGGATAGTTGTGTTTAATCATATCACGAATGTATTTCAGAAATGGACTTTGCAAAACAACTCTTTCAAACTTATGGTCAGCCCCTAATTGATCGCTTTAATATATGGTATGAGACCCTTCGAGTTCGACTAAGAGAAGATAGAAAAGGATGGGGAATAAGTCTTGCTGTTCTCGTTGTCAACATCATAAGAAGCTCCATAACCTACAGTTTCGGGGTCTTTGTTGTCCAATTGAAAAAGATCTATCAACGTCCTATGGCAGAACTCGGTAAGTCAATGTTTCCCTTATCAAAAGCGCTTTTGCTGGTTTTTTTTTGCTGTATTTAAGTTTTACTTACGAGAACCGCATTATAGTGCGCAGGCGCGCATATCGTCTTTCCTTAATCTATTAAATATTAAAACTAAAAATAGAATTTCAAGTAAAACTATAAACTAAATAAAGTAAAGAATAAAAAAAGATAATCTATTATCGACCGAGTTTTGCTTAACTATTTTATCTTAATCATTATAAAAGAAATAGCAGACAATACTCTCAAAGTGAGAGCTGTTTTCTTATATAGTAGTTTCATTAGTTTTATTTCTCTTCTCTTCTTCTCTCCCCCTTTCCTTTTTTCTCTTGCCTACTTTTTACGAAAAGGAAAAGTCGACCTAAAACACGTCAGACGCTCGTTAGACGCCTTTAATAGGCCTATTCTCTTCCGCTATCCAATTAATCATCGCCGTCCGAACGGCGAACGGAACGGGCTTGTCAGATATTTAACGTCGCGGAAAAACCGATCGACGTTATTGATGCGTGTGCTTTTAGCTTATATATATATTTATATATATATTTATAGTATATTCTTTCTTTTCTTGTTTTTATAGTTTGTACATAGATTGTATACTTTCTATACAGAAATCCGATTAAAGTAGTTATTGTATAAGATATTTATGATACTTGTATATTGAATAGTTAAATTACTGATAATGACAGGGAGACTTGACGAAAAAAGGTGAAAAGATGAAGGGAGAATGAGAAAGACAGACGTATACGAGCAGTAAATAGTTTTATAGTTTAGTGTAACAATAAGTAAAGGCACGCAATGATTTGCGGAGCGTATAAATAACAATAGAAAGCAATTTATCGACGATTGAATTATTAATAGTACTCAAATCTTATATCGATATGTACAGTGATAATTTGAATAGACGAGTAGTAGGATAACAATCGGGATTTTCTTTGTATCCCTTATTAAATATAGAGAATGATTAATTTTGTTGATTGTTATTAATCGAATAGATTAACTTTCCACAAGGTTGACTAGTCTTATGCATTTTCGCTTCGATTCTTTTCTCTTTTCGGAACATATCCTTATCTTAGTCCTTCCTCTCTTTTTTTTTTTGACTTTCCATTCACGCTATTCGCCATATTTTTCTATGAAACAACGCAATTAAGATACATAAATAAACTAAACTAATTCTCGGAAAAAGTTGTAAATGAACCTATGAAGAAACCGATACTTTCTTTGGGGAAATATACCTTATTAGGCAATTGTGGTTAAAACTTTAGGATAGGGTTAGCCTTAAGGTGATAATCAAAATAAGATTAAGAATAGAAATGAGAGAAAGATGAAGAAGATGAAGTGGGATAAGAAGAAGAAGAAGAAGAAAGAAAAAAAGAAGGATGTATAGAAAAGTAGAAATGTAGGAATATTAAGTAGATGATAAAGGAGAAAATAAGGGTTTTGATAGTAACTGTGACATCGACGATGACGATGCTAATGATAATGACGTGAAGACGTAAATGAAAGAAAAGAAGAAGACAGAGACACAGAAGGAAAGGGGAAAAAAAGCAACTGCACAGTCTAACAAAGTAAACAGACACATGGTAATTCATTCATTCATTCTCGTTGTCTAGCGCTTAATCAACTGCAAATGACTTTGCAGTAGCGCTTTAATCCCAAACTCAATTTGTAATCGTTGTTGTTTCGTCTCTCTCACAATAGGAAACCTCAATAGAACTGTGTGAAATCACCAAACAGAGCTTCTTAAGCACAAAGCTTTAAAGAATGCGAAATGATTAAAAGAGAGAATATACCTATAAACTAGAACATTGTTTCATTGTAAATGAAATTTAAGTAAATTAATAACGTAGCGATCAATTACTACGTCATTTTCTCCCTCCTTAAATAAGTTTTCTTTAAGTCAATAAGCCTCCCTCTACTCCCATTTCCCTCCACCCCCTTTGCTCCTTTTTTATTGTCAAAGAATTGAAGGCAACTAGTTCTACGAGACAAGCGTTTAAACGATTTCCATTCTTATCGGTACAGTGCAGTTGCGCCCGCCCAACCGCAACATCCTTAATGCAAAATTTCCGTTTACAGATTGGATTGGAACGCTATCTCTCTGCATATTTTTGTAGAATCTAGTTAAGTGCCATTAAGAGAATGTTAATTAGTCAAGAGAAGACTGTAAAAGAGAAAGAAACAACGCTCAATTAGCGCATGCGTTAATAACTATGTAATTGATTTAGCACAAAAATTATGATTATTAATCAGATTTTTTTTTCTCACAGATTGGATTGGAACCCTCTCATTTTGCATATCTCTATCTTGCGCTCCTATATCAGTTGCTGTAGTTAGGGCGTTTAAATATAGGGGCTATAGGATAGTTGGATTTGTAGGGACAATTGTACTATCTCTATCCTGTATGTGCTCGTCGCTCATTCAAGAATTGGAATGGATGTTTTTAACGCACAGTCTCCTATATGGCGTAGGAAGCAGCTTTATTTACATGGCGTCTTCGCTCATTATTGGGGAGTACTTTGACAAAGACCACAAGTATCATGTCCTGGCTACAAGCATCTTACTATGCGGATATCCCCTAGGTATTTATTATTCTGTATTTTCGAAACAAAGGTAGAAGAAATCTTTTATGAACTGATAAGACTAAATGCTGTATACTTATACTAATGTATAGATAGTATCTATACTGTATATTAGCTTTACAAATATTAGTATATATATAAATTTATATATACTGTATATATAAAACAGAAAGAGGAAAAAAAACAATTATAAAGAATTTTTTTAGTACCTCATTTTCCTATAACAATGCATCACTTGTAACTTAATTGCAACTTATATATTCCCTAAAACCATTTTAAAACCCTACAAACAGGTTTAAGATACTCTTTTCTTTTGTCTCTTTCTCTCCATCTCTCTCTTTCTCTCCCGCTCTCTCTCCTCTCTGTCTGTCCGTCTCTCTCTCTCTCTCTCTTTCTTTCTCGTTTACTCATTCTCCATCCTTATTTTTCTACCTTACTTATTTTTTTCTTTATGTTTTTTTTTCTGCTGGTTTACAGGTAGCCTTCTCTTCAATCCAATAAACGCTTGGTTGGTCACCAGCTATGGCTGGAGAATTGCTTTTAGAATTGCTGCCGGTCTTATTATTGTTACTGGATTACCGTGCTGTTGGGTATTTTCCAGTAAGGATACAATCAACCCAGAAATCTTAAGAGATGAGGAAGAAATAACTCCTAGAACCCCAGAACCTCCAGAGCCCGTTGTGGAAGAGGTTGAGGTTGAACAGGAGGCAAAGGTAAAACGGAGGCGTTGCTGCACGCTAGCGGAACTGAAAGAACGGCCGGAAATCGCTCTATGGTACATGGGGAATTTGCTAAATTACTTGGGATTCTATATGCCATTCGTAAATTTGGTAAGTAAAATATGAATGAAATAAAGAGAAAATTATGATTTGGGGATATTCTATAATCTGATGGAACAAATTTTCCAATAAAAAGAAAAGGCAAAACGGAATCTACTGACTATTAATTTTTTTTGAAATATCTCTGTTACACAGTCGTTTATTTATAGGCTTAAGAATGACAAAGTGTTATCGTTACGACGTTTGTCAGTAGAACTTAATAGGAAACTGGCAAACGAAGAGGATAAAAAAAAACTATAAAATAGAAAAAGAGAGAAATAATAGCCTTTTTCTCTACATTGATTTCATTAATTAATCTATTTAGTCGTTTATTCGTTCATTTTTGTTTTTCAGGCGTATTACATGAAGCTTAAAGGAATTGAGGAGACGAGAAGTTCTTGGGCTCTTACTCTGCTCAGTTTATCGGAATGTGTATCTTATATTCTTGCTTCCTTCTTTGGTGACTATTTAAAAGGCAAACTTGTCTATGCTAATGTCATATCGGCAGCAGCTTTAAGTCTCATTTGTATACTTTGGCCTATGCTAGACTTTTCTTATTCGATGATACTCTTCACATCACTCAGTAAGTACACTTATGTTCCACTTTGTAATTAGACAAAGAAAATAATTGATTTTTCTTCCACTTGTCTTTTTTCCTCCAGCTATGGGAGGCTTTTTAGGTTTGACTATTGTATACACTTACGCCGCTTCCGGTGAAGTTACTAAACTTCCTATCGATGTTGCATGGTCGTTTACGAATTTGTGGTCTGGTGTTGGCATACTTTTGGGTCCATTTTTCTCTGGTAAGTACAGTAGCTTCGGCATTAAATAATTGAATAACTAGTGCTGCCTTCTGCTGTTCCAATATAAATATTATACTTTATTTATCTAACGGAAAAGTTAATTGAATTCGTTGAAAATAGGAGCTATTTACGACATCCGACGGAACTACGACGATGTCTTCTACGTAGTTGGAGCCCTATTTGTTCTAGATGCTCTATTATTTGGTGGAATTGTCGTTTTGCAAAAGTGGAGGGAAGCCCATCCTCCTCCGGAGGCTATACCGCTGGAAAAGAGAAAATTCAGTTCGGTCTCGGAAACTGAAATGGCAGCAACAACAACTACAGCCGAATACGGTAGTATAGAAAAGCCTGCCGGACCATTAGACGCTCCTAGAAGACCTCCAAGTACCTACAAGTTGAAAGAAGAAGAATCGAATAGAGAGGAAGATTACTTTAGAGTAAATTAATGGAAAGAATGATTTTAGAAGTGTTAAAATGTTAGATGGTTAAGGATTTTAAATTAATTAATTGTAATATATATAAATATATTAAGACTATTAATTAAAATATTGATATCTGTAAGAAGTAAGGAGATAAAAAGATACAAAAAAAATCATTAGGCTTTCGTTTTTGTTCATAATTGTAAATGTACGAGGAAAAAAAAAGGAAAAACATGGAATGCTTGTGTTTATTTAAATGAAGGGATGAACATATAAAAGAAAAACAAATAAAAAAGTTTCGTTTCTATCTTATCGACGGATACGATTCAAAAAAAAAAACAGAGGAGATCTATAATGAATTTATCATAGTGGATGGGTAATAATCGATCGATTACTGTTTAATTTTATCCATTGTAAATCATGCGGCTTATCGATTGATTAAACAAATCTATAATGAATCATTTCCCTTTCTCTCCGAGTCTTCCTTTTCCGTTCAAGAAAACTAAGAGCTAGGAACAGAATAACAGAGATCGAAATAGACCAACAATATTACATTTATTCTATTTTTCCAATTCGTATCCCATCCGTAAAATACTCCATTCCGATAGTCGTTTCAATGATAAAACGTTTCGAGATGACCAACATCAATTTTGTTAATCCGACCATAATCCGCTCTCTTCCCAGCAGCTAAAGCTATTAAGATTATATAATTACGATTGACTGCATTATACAATATGTTAAAAAGAGGGAAAAAATGTGTTTATCCCTTCGACTTTAATGCTCTCAACCGTTGAAAATATATTGTAAAAGTCTTATAGCAGTATAGTAAAAAATTTAATAAAATATTTGTCAATTCTCCGTTAATTATTTTAATTAATTATCTAATTAGTTAAATATATGACAGGTAATCCTTTCATTCTGTATTCATTTCAACCGTTTTTTCGATAACTATTCATCCGAAATTTCAACGATTTTACGCCATCTTGCGGGTTTTAAATAGTTTACCCTAGTGGGCAATAATTGAAAGTGAAGGAGAGAAAAGGCAACGGAAGAAAACGTTGGAGAGATTGAGCGACGTAGACAGAAAAAAGCGGAAGGGGCTTATTAAAAAATTAAGAAGGAAAGGAGTTTAATTATGTAAAAAGTTGAGTGATAAATTGAGAAATTTCAATGTGTTTAGATTGAAAAGTATTCGAAAGGCTTGGGGTGTGAACCGTTCCATTATTAAATCAATCAATCTATTGATTGAGATCTTATTTAACGATAAGCATCAAGGTAAAGCATCCAGGACAATTTAATAAAATGATTAATAAACTTGTTTATATTAGACGATTATTATGTCAATTTTCCAAATTAAACATTTCTCACTTTTCCTACGATAACAGAAGATTTATATATAGAAGGAAAACCAGCTAGTTTATGACTAAATAAGAGAGAAAGAGAACAGAGAAAGATTTGAAACAATAAGATAAAAGTTTAGGGAAAACTATCTGCTTGTTTAATCAGTTAAAAAGAGGTCATAGTGGCAAATCTTAGAGATTGGGCCATGCTCTAGAGTATTAAAAGAATCTATGCACGGAGAAGAATTAATTTTTTAAGAAAAGAGTGACACCTGTAGGCGGATAAGTAGGCCTAAATTACAAGCATAAAAGGCGTTGTCCCAAGCAGTAGTGGCGTTATTTTGCGTACGTTGACGGAAAAAGTTTGTTTCATATATTTCCTAAACAAACTTAATCGTTGAAAAACGATTCTCTTTTTTTCTTTTTTCAACTGACAGACAAGATTATGAAATCGAATTACGCTCTGTTCGTCACCTTAATCTGCTGTTGCGTAATTGTTGAACAATTCGCTCAAGAATATTCACCGGACGGTTATAAATTCGACGATGGTTTGATATTTTCCAATTCTTTGTTGTATTGCTTTATATTTTCCGGCTTTCACTTCTTTCAAATTACGCTTACGAAAGTACGCTTTTGCAGCTGTCGATTAGACTGTCGCTGACAACATTTGTCCGTTTATGAGCTTTAGCTTTTTAGCTTAATATCTATCCAATAGAAATATATATATATATATATATATACATATCTTTTTTTATACATAAGTATACGTATTCATAACGCCTATGCTTATACATATATGTATACAAAAAAGGATTATATACTACCTATGAAGGGATAATAGTAAAAGAGTTTAATCTCTTTAATTAGCTTCTCAACGATGCTGAAAAGTATTTAAAAAACAGTCGATTAATCTTAAACAAATTTTCAATTATCAGTTAGATGTAAAAAGATATTCTAATAAGTTGTAATATTAAAATATCAAATCATATTCAATCGAATGGAATGAATTAAAAGTCTGCTTGAATTTCAAAAATAATTAACTTTTGAGAAAATAATATACAAACACTGAAAGAAAACAGATAGAAAGAAAGAAAGAAAGAGAGGTGAAGTTTGTTATTGTTGGATTTAATATCTTTATAAATATAACATATTTAAGTTTTCCCTCTTAACCCTTAAAATATTTCATATTTTTCATTCTTTCGTTCCCCTCCCTCTTTTCTATATCTTCCTCCTCTTCTTCCTTCTCCTGTTCAGTCTGTTCTTTGTTATTGCTCCTCCTCTCACTTTATTAATGCTATTAAGGCAAGAAAACGTAATTAATCATATTAAGTTTATTCTACTTCGTATTCGACTTAAAAAAGTATACATTTAAGTTGATAGCAATCTTTATATAGATCAAATGAGCGAATAAGTGTACATACATATTCATATATGTACTTGTATATATATATTATTCATGATCTACACAGTACATACGTAAGCATCTTTCCATTTTCTTAGCAATCTATACTAGCTGGGGAGCAATTTATATTAAAAATGTATGTATAAGTATCTATATATGTATATTTATCTATATATATATATATATATATATATATATATATATATATATATATATATATATATATATATATATATATAGATATAAATGTATATGATGTGCATGTATATATATATAGATATATATAATTTTGCACACATACATTCATTAAGTACAATAAAGAAAATACACAGTATCTACAATATATGCTGTATATTAATCTATTGTACACAAGAATATATTCTATTTATGAAAACTGGTTTTTGTTTGGAATCACAACGAATGAAGTTGATCACTGACAAACTCTTTGATATTCATTTATATACATATATATTTATATACATATATATATATATCAACGATATATTTTGCTGTTTGGTTATTGAGATCGATTTCATTCTGCTCTATTTTATAATTTGTTTAACTTAATTTATCTTCAATTTTATTTCCACCAGCTAAACCTATACATGTTTGCTTTTCCGCTATTTCTTTTTCATAGTTTTATCTCTTTTCACTTGGCTTTTATAAGAGATAAAATTGAGATTGGAATCAGTGGAAAGACTTTATTGTTTTCAAAACCGCTTGCTCTCCTTCATTTTTCATTTTCTTTATTTCGCTGCTTGTATCTCTCTCTCTCTTTCTCTCTTTTTCTCTTGATCTATCTCTTTAGCTATCTGCTTCTGTAATCGTTCCATGATTAAATTAATAATTTAAAAAGAATAGCGCTAGATAAAATAATAATAACAGGCGCGCAGCTTGAACGCCAGACGCGCAAAGTTATCTACCTAACGCCGCGACAGTTGCGTCAGCTGATTATCCGGCTTCAGAGTCGAGGCAAAATAGTTCGTACGATCGGCAAACGTTCTTTTGCAGTCGACAAACGCCGCTTGTTCGTCGGCAAGCGTCCTGATGATTATGCAGAAGATTGGCGAAAGGAAGAGAAGAGGGCTAGACAAAGGCTATTTGTCGGTCGTAGACGACAGTTATTTGTTGGCAGAAGGAGCGCTGCGGACGACATCCAGTAGAGTGAGTTTTAGCGAAAATTTCTATGTCAAATCATCCTTCTTAACAATGGAAAGGGAAGCGGAGTTTGATACGAGTACTAAATCTTTTTAGCAAATTTGTTATTAGTAAAAAGAAGAGCAATCTGAAAAGTCTTTATATTAAAAGAGGAGGTTACTCTCACTCATAAATACCTTTTATTAAACATTCATCACACTAAATGGAGACTATTATTAGATTGGCTTTTCAATTGAATAATTTGTCCACAACTAAGAAGGATGGTTTGACGCGCATTACGGCAGCTTTTTATAATGCGCTGTTCCTTTCTTTCAAAAGCGCTTGGCATGCGCTTCTATAAATTTATTATATATGAATACACAACAGTATATACTGTATATAAATTAAAGTATATACGCAACTCTACAGATATTATTTTCACTCCTCTATGCTGTTTACGGCCTAGAGATCATATGTAATAGGTACAACTAATCATGTTCCTTTCGTACTAAACAATTTCATTTCGGCAGAAGAAAATCGCCTCTACCGCCCAATCCTCAATAGATTCAACAAGCGATTCGATGAATTTCTAGGAAAACGCTTTTCAGAATTTATGGGAAAGAAGAAACGATTTGGTGACTTAATGGGCGGTAAAAAACGCTTTTCGGAATTTATGGGTCGTTAATTAACATTGTAAAAATTAACAAGTGTAAAAATAAGTAGAAAGGAAAAATATGAAAAAAAAATGTTATGATAAATAAAAGAGAAAATTCTGTTTGTCTTAAACGTTTAGTTAAAAACAAAAGCAATTCAAAAAATTTCTTGTCTGCAAAGAATAAAACTTTTATTTGTGTGCAATAATTGAAAATAATAACATCAACAAAACAAAGAAATGATAAGGAATCATCTATGTAAAATATGTTTTTATCAATTCACTTTACTTACTTATAATATTAATTTTTCGTGTCATGACTATTAAAGAAAATTGAATATTTCTTAGGTTCTTAGCTGCTATATATTCTAATATATAGATTTTTTTTTTTCATTAACAAACATAATGCAAAACTTAATGGAAAGCAATTTGTTTTTCAACATGCTTTTCCTTCTTTCTTTTAGTGAAAGCATTTAAAAAAAGTCATCTTCTAGATATTAAATTTTCTTATAAAAATGACTTTCTTTCCGGTTTTTCGTAACTCTATAAGACAATTCGTAATTAATAATAGGATCATGTGGCAAATATCTTTAAAGTTATATTAATAGCTGGTTATTAAAACGAGAAAAGAAAACAGTAGACCATCTTGTTATGCATTCCTTAGTCTTGTAAGTTTCTTCTTCTTGTTTTTCTCTTTCCAGCATTCTTTCGTTTATAGGGAACAATGGATATCGCTCCTCTTTCCCTGCTTCGTAATTGTGGCATATTCATGTTTTAACGCTGTTTACATATATTTATTGACCAATTTGAATAGCTATAGAGAGGGTGGGCAGTTATTTATCCTATTATGGCAGATTATACATTATCTACTAATGGTAGTAGCTAAGTGACTTGGAGAGGAGAAAGAGTGGGAGTAGGATAAAGGAGAAAGAACAAAGAACTTTTATAAAAGAAAAAAGAGAACGCGACGGTGAGAAGGAATTAATTAAGCGATCCGCTTTTCCGCTATAGTAAATAAAAAAATAGATAAGAATTATCTTGATAATCGTTTGGCGGAAGCTCGTTACTAGTTCATCCCTAGTAAGCAGTTTTTCTTATGATAAACATCTATGAATCTGTGTTGTATAAAACTTGAGGATGAAAGAAAATAGAATGTAAATATTTACGTAAGCTGTATATCGCTTGCATTAATTATGCATTGAACGGCTGTTAATTTGTGGTGTAAGTATCTGTTTAAGGAAAGGTACAGTGATATTCTTGTCATCTTTTGTCGTTCCCACAGACCTCTACATCCTATTAGCCATCCAACTTGTTTTCAGGAATTGTTATATTA